CTTCTCTTATGGACAGATTACGTATTTCCTCCGCTATCGATCCGGTAGTACAGACAGCGCTAAAGGTGCTTACAGACCCAGAAACTCTGCCCCCACTCCGTTCGGCTCTTTCCGACTGGAAATTGAGCGACGGAATTCTCTTATATAAAGGACTTACCTATGTACCCCCCGGCGATATCCACCACGAACTCACTTCTCTTCATCACGACTCTCCTACCGCAGGACACCCTGGACGTTTCAAAACCTAGGAACTCCTATCTCGCGACTACTGGTGGCCAGGTCTAGCGACCTTCGTAAAGAACTTTGTAGAAGGATGCAGTGTCTGTCAGCAGAACAAAGTCAACACTCATCCATCTCATCCACCCCTCACTCCCATACCCACTCCTATTTGCAATTGACCCTTCGCTCATTGCTCAGTCGACCTCATTACAGACCTTCCCTTATCTGACGGATTCGATTCTATTATGGTCGTGGTAGACCATGGACTTTCGAAGGGGGTAGTTTTCACCCCTTGTCTCAAAATGATCGACTCTGAAGGAGTCGCGAACATTTTCTTTTCTAAAGTTTTCTCTAGATACGGACTTTACGATAAACTTATATCAGATCGCGGACCCCAATTCGCTTCCAGATTCCAACTCGAACTCGGAAAACTCCTCGGATACAAGAACTCCCTATCCACCGCCTTCCATCCTCAGAGTGACGGAGAAACTGAACGAGTTAACCAAGAACTCGAAGTTTACCTTCGGATCTTCTGCGCTAATGACCAGACCGGTTGGGCCGCTATGCTTCCTCTTGCCGAATTCGTTCATAATTCACGGCATCATTCTGCACGTGGCACATCCCCTTTCTACCTCATGATGGGTTATCACCCGGAACATCTTCCCGATTCACATCCGAAATCCGACATTCCTAATATCGAAAAATGCCTACTTATGCTAAATAAAGCACGCGATGAAGCGCTAGCCGCTCATGAACTCGCTCGTAACACTATGCGTCAACGAATCACGTCTAAATTCATACCATTCTCTCTAGGCGATAAGGTCTGGCTAGAAGCCAAGAACCTTCATCTCGGATATCCTAATCAGAAGCTCGCTCCGAAACGCGAAGGACCATTTGTCATCACCCAAGTCCTTTCGCCTATCACGTATAAATTAAAACTTCCCTCCCAATGGCGCATTCATCCCGTATTTCATGCCGCCCTATTATCCCCCTATAAAGAAAATGACGTACACGGTCCTAACTTCATTAACGCACCACCTGACATCATTGACGGAGAGGAAGAATACGAAATCGAAGCCATCATCGGTCATCGCGGTTCATCATCTAGACGGTCTTATCATGTTAAATGGAAGGGGTTCCCGAGTTCCGAGAACGAGTGGATGACAGAAGGACAGTTGGGTAACACTTCTGATGTTCTTTCTTTTTATAAACGATCACATCGACTTTAACTTTTGTAGTAATCTGGGCTTACTACCCTTAAAACGGGGGTAATGTTACAGTTCTATCTTTTCACTTCTTCACGTTGTCACATATGCTTACTCATCATTCCATAGTATTCTATTACATTCCATCGTACGATTCTCTTTCTCTTTTTCCTATTCGCTATTCATATTCAAGCTCCGCTTCAATACTCTTATATATACCTTACTCTTTATGCTTTGTATCTTTAACTTGACCTACGCAGACCAGGGCCTGCAATCTAGCTTCATCTTCACTAGAACATTGACTTTGACTTTGAACTTTGAACGTTAAGACGTCTAACCAACGCCAAGCATAACAATAAAGCCATTCTTAGCAAGATGGCTGCTCCGGTTATAGCATCGACATACCTCTTGTCCAAATGTGAGTGCTGAAGATACTTGTGAGATATCAACAGGTTTTTAATGTTATCGTGCTCACCCCAATCATACGTCACTACGATGAACGCGGCAACTGCGAAACGGCAGCCAAGGTTAGATTGAGTCAGCTTCAAGATCTCGCCGCTCTCCACGAGCCCATAAAATAGCTGGCCAAACGATATGCATCGATGATCGGCCACCAAGTGGGATCATTTGATAGTATGGTCATATTGGTAGACAATGGGTGTGGGTGAGAGGCAAACTTGGTGGACGTATGACGATGACATTCGTATTAGTTAAACCATTGGCCATCCGGTGCGTAGATCAGCAAAACGAGATCGGGGGATGACGACCATTCCTACTTTGATTGGTCGAAGTAGATGTTTGCATGAAGAAAGACAAAATCCAGGGACCATAATAGATTTTGATCATGAAACATTTGCAGGAGCGAAACACTTCAACACCGCAAAAGATTTAACGACATGGAGTGTGAGAGAAAGTGGGGAAAGAAAGATAGGCTCGTACTAAGTCGTAATCATCATGATTCTGCTTACGCGCGCGTTTCTAGATTTTGAGATATAAACAGAGAACGTGGGGGAAAGGCAAAGCAAGTCGCCTGAGTGAAAATATTCGTCACCACTTGCTATGTAGTCGGCCAGAAAACCAAGAAGCACGCATGGCCAGGCTCGGCATGTCGGGTATCTTTTCCGATGAGACCTACGTTCGTGTGGACCTCACCTAGGCAAGCCCAGCCCACTAGTGCAAATCACAGATCGATACGAAGCAAACGAGCTCGTGTCCTACCTGGGCTATCGAAACCTCCCTGCGAGCACATATCTCAATGTCTCATCTCGTCCGTAGGCCATCTGTCACTTCATGCGCACCCTCGTATCATCTGGATGCCGAAATGGTGAGCCCAGAATATTGTATTTGTATCGTGGAGTTAGTGCGGTGGTAAGAGGCATTAGGTTTTACCAGAGACGTCCTAGTTGAGATTCGGCGATTGATGTGAGATGAAGATACAATATCATCCCTAAGAGAGCGTTGAGAGACTAAATGAGAGAAAAAGATGCTCGGATGCACAATGGTTGAAGGCGGCTCACCGTGTCACATAGCTGCCATTGCACACCATCACCCCTTATTCCGATGAAAAACAATCCAAAACGTGCCACACTGAATCCACCATGCAGTTGATGCCCCTTCGTCACGACTGACGCTTTTGCAGGGTAGCCTGAATGAAAATGTGGATTAGAACGCTGTCCATATTCGCATGAACCAGCTACCATAACGATGCCCGAGAGTACACCGACATCTCAGAACTCCGACTGTTGAACGATCAAGATCCGAGAACGCAGATAATGCGTGGCGAGAGGATCTCAGGACAATATAATCACATGAACGGGTACGATTGGGAGTCCTCCTTTATATCACTGTCAATGTTTTGTATTTGGGAAACGAAACAAGAGAAATGGCACAACTTACTTCTCTGGAGTCCGGACGGTCAACGTTGAAGTACACGCCTCAACGCAAGTTCGCCTTCCTCCGAGTCCTACATCGCAAGTCCTCTGTCCAGGGATCATCGATCATCGATCAGTCGCCGAGTGATTACTAGAGTCAGACTCCAGTCCAGATCGATAGAAAGCTTGACAGGCGAAGCACGGAGTTTGAAATTGCAGCCTTGCCACCAAGTTCTGATCGACGTGCTCAGATTGTCTCTGTTACTTTGTTTGAGATATTTTATCACTTCGAATTCTGCGCGCCTGAAATCGTATGAATGGTGTGTGTTTACTACCTCCCATGCATGCAATCTTCTCATCACTTAATTCACAATGCAGCACACTTCAAAGACCACGGAAGTGACTCCCTTCTTCGATACCCTCAAATCTCTTAGAGTACCACTATGACCTGGAGCACTCCCGCACGCACTTTCCAAATACCCCGCAAAGTAAACCACGTGAGTTTCCATCAAACACTACGAAACAGTCCCTTATAATCCCTCCTGCCGAATTTTGTCGCAGTTCACGGAAGTGCTTTATCGCAATCCAGACTGCGAGACATAGTGCGATGACCTGCCAGAAGATGGTGAGCAGGACTTTTAATTTGCGCTGTTTGACGTACAGCTTGGTTGTAGATATTTTGCGCATCAGTGCAAGCCGCAACTCTGGTTATTCATAAATGCATGGAAAAATGTGAGCTTCCGCGCATCCTCGACTTGTAATTTTCAGCCTCGAAACCACCTACTCAGTCCTCCGAAACCACTTCTGTTACTTTCAAAACCTACCTATAGCGCCCACCGACCTGGTGGCTTGTTCGTGCTAGTTACGCTCCAACTGTTCTGCTCAGAACGACTTTGTCACTTTGTTTAAAACATTTTATCACTTGTGCGTGCATGAATTCTCGTCTACATCTATTCTCATAACAAAATACAGCGCACTTCAAATGTCTCCGAAGATTACCTTCTTAAAGTAATGCCCTCAGTATCACTACTTCTCAATTGCACACCCGTTCCAAATTCGAAATACTCAATCAATCTAACGTAGACAACATCTTGGCCACATACCGGCTACATCGAGAGATTCGCCTCGACCTCGCTATCACGTCCGCAGCCTGACCTTAAGCAGCAGATGCTCGAATCCCGCACTATATTGCTGGTGCTGGTGCCTGCATGTCTGTTCCTGGGTGCGTCGCTTGTCGCTGTTTCGAATCACGTCAACAAGCTGTTTTATGTTTCGTGTCCAGTTAGCACCCTGGATTCCTTAAAATTCTCCCGACTCCATAGAGGCGCAGGGTCTCAGCTGAAGGATCACGGCCTTCATATCACAAATACAGTACTTGTATCCCCACGTAGTGCTTCAGCAACAGTCCTAGACACATTTATATTTATGTCTGTATCTCATCTAACGAAAGTGAAAAGCAAAGCTCCTCTGCAAGCATTAACCAATTCAGCCTCCTCAAGACTCGTCAAGTATGCCTCGCATCATTAAGCTACGCATGCATGAACGTGCTTCGCACACCTTATGATCACCTTGAATGGATCATCATCTGTGAGTCAGTTGGCGTGAGTTAGGTGAGAAAATAAGGGTGGGACATTGAATGAGACGAGAAGATGAATCGAGTACGAATTGCTGAGGAACAGAAGCAGTGCGCTGTCACTCGACTTTCCTCTCGCGCACTGCCTAAGCAAACATATGAATGATTGTCATCGCATAGAGAAAATAAGAACCGGACGTTGGTGCAAGGGTATGTGGGGAGCTAGTGCGAGTAGAGATATTCAGGATATTGATTTAAATATTATCAGCACGTAGTATGTATAGCAAATCACTTGACAAAATAACACGGCGAGAAACTTTGTATGTCCCCTTGAAAACTACTTTGAAACACCAAATAACTTCGATCAATACTTTCAGAAAAGTGGTAATAAATAAAAGCAAATTTCCCTGCTCTTTCCAGGGCACTAGACAACCGTCAACTCCACCGATTATCACACACCACTACCAGTTGATATTTCCACGCGCTCATGGAAAGCGATTGAGGTCATACCAGTTGCTACGTCAGAATTGGCAACGAGCCTAGCGTGGTATTCCCGAACGCCAAGGATGAGGCGCGGTCCCAGCACAAACATCTGCACAACCTCCAAAATTTGAGTCACCCCAGCAATAATCTGAGGGGCCAGGGAATTGCTCTATAGAAACGATAAATTGTGGTAGCGTGCATAGGCAAGTGAAAGATTGACATACCAAGAAGAATGTTGGATATAAATCAATGATGAGATGGAGACAAGAAACAACAACAAAGCTACCACGTCCGGCCTGTTAGTGGAAAAAAGAGAGAATAATCACAATATGAGCTTACCTCGCAAAGTAATGTATATGAGTTTTCATCAACACCGTGAAACAGTCCCCGATAATCCCTCCTGCAGAATATTGTCGCAATTCACGGCAGTGTTTTACTACAACCCAGACTGCGAGACATAGCACGAGGACCTCCCATACAGTGCCGAGCATCCAACCCACAGATATAAGAAGTGGGATATCTTTCGAATAGTTAAGCCGGCACTGATAAGTGCCAGAGAGAATGGATTCCTCTGGTAACCATCAATGTGCTCAATCCACATTTATTTTCATTCACAATTAAACGCACCCCCTGAAGTATGTATAATTGCCATTATGGAGACTACTCCATCGAAAGTGTTGACAGCCAAGAGGGTGACAATGAGAAATATTAGGATCTTTCTGGATCCTTGATACATCGCATACAACCGAGCGATGATGATGACTTGCACCATGTTTCAGTCAAGTCAATATCACTGGGGTTTCGCAAGTGCAAAGCTCACCCCACAGCATCGCAAATACCACAACACCCGTCCACTCCCATACGACGTAGATAATCCAGCCTGAATAATCCAGTCAGCGACCAGCCTCGGATAGCACACACTCCAAACAGACTCACATCTGTGGCAGTATAGCATGGCAGTCATTAGTGAACTAAGAAGTTAGCAAAGAACTACACCCACTGCTACAGGGAACCACGGTTAATTGGAGGGGAATAGGACTAGACATCTGTGCAGAAGACTCACTGTATCCGTCAGCGAGATGGTCGGAGTATTGCCTGAAAGCCGTTGCTCAGAATAAGCACAGACAGTGAATGTACTAAGGGGGCATACTCAGAATGTTCAGGCTGGTTATGAGAGATAGACGATTAGCACAACACCGATTGTGTAGCCATCTGAACATACGCAGCGTATAAGATTCCAAGGTAACGCGTCTAGGATACTTTCAAGTCAGTACAACATAGCAACTGCGACAAACAAGCCACATACACCGAGATACATAACCGTCATTAGGGACCATCGTTGTCTCTGGAATAAAGTATATTTTCATGCGTGTTCTTCTGACACCAGACTCTACTCACCCAGATGAGCTCCACCTATAAATCAATTCTCAGCGAGATGGCCGCTCCGGTTATATCATCGACATACCTCTTGTCCAAATGTAAGTGCTGAAAAGAATCATAAGACGTCAGCAGTCTTTTAATGTTATCATGCTCACCCCCATCATACATCACTGCAACAAAGGCGGCGACTGCGAAACCATAGCCAAGGTTAGACTGAGTCAGCTTCAACATCCGGCTTTCTACGAACCTATAAAATAGCTGGCCAACCGAGATGCATCGATGATCGGCCACCAAGTGGGATCATTGGAGACGTAGGTCATATTGGTAGAGAATGGGTGTGGGTGAGAGGCGAACTTGGTGGATGTATGACGATGGCATTCGTGCTAGTTATACCACCGTCCGGTCCTTAGATCAGCGAAATGAGATCGGGAGAGGATGACCGTTCCCGCTTTGATTGGACGAAGCGGATATTGTTGCATGAGGAAAGATAAATTAATCCAGGGGATCATAGTAGATGTTGGTCGTAAAACATCTGAACGAGCGAAACACTTGAACTCCGCAAAAGATCGAACAACATCAAGAACTGTTCGTGATCTTGTCGCCTTGTTTCCGATGCTATTCTCGAAATGATTTTGCTACACGTGCATCAGTTCATTAATGCAACCAAGTACTATATCTGTTTGATACATACTGATCACGGTGCGACCATCGAAAAGCCTGGCATCTCATCTCTATTCGCCTCTCTTGCACCAGCCCGGGGAGCATAACAGCTCATCCAAGGTCACTCAGCAAATGGATATTGCGTCGGCAAGACACCGGAACAGAAAAATCAGCCGTCAAATCGCACGAAGAAGCAAATTCGCACCCTACTCCGGCTACCAATACCTCCCCAGTGAGCATACGTCTCGATGTCTCATCTCACCCTTAGGTCTGTCGCTTCATGCGCACCCTCTCGCTATCTGCCTGGAAAATCGAGTTACTGCCATCATCTGGATGCCAGCAGAAATGGTGAGCCCAGAATGTTTGATTTGTATCGTGGAGTTGGTGTGGTGGTAAGAGGTTTCACCAGAGACGTGAGATTCCGCGATTGATAAAAATACATCAACACCCTATATCAAGAGAGCGTTGAGAGAGGAGATAAGAGAAATGATGCTCAGATGCACAATGGCTGAAGGCGATAACATTCCGTTGGCACACCATCAGACAGTTGGTGATTTGAAGAAGTTGAGGGAATAACTCACCGGGTCATACAGCTACCAATGCACACCATCAACGCTCATTCAAATCAAAATCGATCCAAACCGTGCCACACTGAATCCATCATGCACTTGATGCCCTTCTGTTGACTCGCACATTCGTAGGGTAGCCTGAGTGGGAATGTGGATTGTAACGCCGTCTATATCTCGCATGAATCAGCTACTATAGCGACGCCCGAGACTGCACCGACACCTGAGAACTCCGACTGACGATCAAGATTCGAGACTTGAGAGTTCATGTGGCGTTAGAGCCCTTGCATGCTAACCGATAAGTATACAAAGCCGGTTCTATATGGGTTTGCTTAGCGGAAAATAATTGAAAGCCGAAGGGATACTCACCGTGGATGTAGACTTGCTGTGAACAAGCTGTATGATTTCATCAGGTGGTCTTTGTGAGATTTTTAAAAAGTGTGATGCCAGTACGTACTTCAATTTGGAACACTGGGGATGCTGGCGTACCCAGTTGCGGACCGTAAGAATGTCAAACTAGTCGTATAGCTGGTTTATGATGCTAAAGCGGGCATGGGCATTTGGGAACAATCAGACAAGCAGCCTGAGCGCGAACTAGAGAGTCTAGACTCCAGTCTGACAGGCGAAGCACGGTATTTGAAATTTGCACACATTCTAAAGTCTAATTGGCGTACTTTGTTTTGAAATGTTTTATCACTCCCGGCGTCCACGCATGCGCATCCTACAATATATCACGTCTTCGACTTGCAATTTCCGGACTCGACTTTCACCAACACCACCTACTCAGTCCTCCGCAACCAGTCCTATCGCTTCCAAAGCCTACCTATAGCACTCACCAACTTGGTGGCTTGTTCGTGCTAGTCACGCTCCAACGTGCTCAGAGCGACTCGTGTCAGTTTAAAATATTCTATCACTTGTGCGTACTGAAATTTTCGTCCAATTTATTCTTCTAACAATTTGCAATACAGCACACTTCAAATGTCTTCGAACATTCCCTTCCCCTCAATCCTCCCAGAGTGTCACAATGTTCTCGCACGCACGTTCCAAATCCTAAATCAATCTAACGTCGAATCTCGATGATGACATTTTGGCCGCATACCAGCTACATCGAACAATTCACCTCGATCTCACTGTCACGTTTACAGCCTGACCTCAAGCAGCAGATACTCGACTCCTGCACTATTGCTGGTGCTGGTGCCTGTGCGTCCCTTGTCGCCGTTTTGAGCCACATCAAGAAGCTGTTTCATGTTTCGTGTCCGATTAGCACCCTGGATTCCTTCAAATTCCTCTGACTCCACAGAGGCGCCGTGTCTCAGCTGAAGTCGATCACGGCCTTCATATCACAATGCTTGATATGGTACATGTATCACCCAGCAGTGCTTCAGCAACAATCTTAAACGCGTTTATATTTGTATCTGTATATCACTCAGCGAACGAAAGTGAAAGGCAAGCTCCTCCGCAAGCATTAACCAATTTCAGCCTCCCCAACACTCATCAAGTATACCCCGCATCATTAAGCTATGCATGCATGAACGTGCTTCGTGCACCTTGTAATCACCTTGAAAGCATCATCTGTAGGCCACTTGTCGTGAGTCAGCTGAAAACAAGGTAGCAGTTCATAGGACATTGCATGAGGCAAGAAGACGAATTGAGTATGGATTGCTAAGGAACTGAAGCAGTGCGCTGTCCCTTGACTTTTCTCTCGCGCGCTGCTTAAGCAATCATATGAATGATTGTCGTCCCACAGAGAGAGAAAAAGGACCAGTTGTTGGTGCAAGCGGGCAGCTAGTGCCAGTAGAGATATTTATCGATTTAAACATTATCAACACGTATAATAAATCACTTGACTCAATAATGCGACGAAAACTTTGTACGTCTCCTTGAAATCTACTTCGGAACACCAAATAACTTCGATCAATACCTTCAAGAAAGTGGTAATGAATAAAAGCAAATTTCCCTGCTCTGTGAAGGGCACCAGACAACCGTTAGCTCCACCGACTATCACACACCACTGCCAGTCGATATATGCACGCGCTCCTGGAAAGCGATTGAGGTCATACCGGTTGCTACGTCAGACTTGGCCACGAGCTTAGCGTGATATTCTCGAATACCAAGGATCAGGCGCGGTCCCAACACAGACATCTGCACGACCTGCGAGATCTGACCAACCCCAGAGGTAACCTGAGTAACCAGGGAAATGCTCTATAGAAACGATAAATTGTGGTAGCGTGCATAGGCAAGTGAAAGATTGACATACCGTGAAGAATGTTGGATAGAAATCATCAATGAGATGAAGACAAGAAACAGCAACATAGCTACCACGTCCGACCCGTCAGTGGAAAAGGACCAATAATCACAATATGAGCTTACCTCGCAAAGTAAACCACGTGAGTTTTCATCAACACTGTGAAACAGTCCTCGATAATGCCTCCTGCCGAATGTCGTCGTAGTTCACGGAAGTGTTTTACCGCAATCCGGACTGCGAGACATAGCACGAGGACCTCCCATACAATGCTGAGCATCCAACACACAGATATAAGAAGTAGGATATCTTCTGCATAGTTAATCTGACACTGATAAGTGCCAGAGAGAATGAGTTTCTCTGGTACCCATCAATGAGCCCAATGCATGTTTATTTTCATTCACAATTAAACGCACCCCCTGAAGTATCCATCGTTATCATGGTGGTGGACACTGCACCGAAAGTGACGAGAGCCAGGGAGGTGACAATGAGAAATATCAGGATCTTTCTGGATCCTTGATACATCGCATGCAACCGAGCGATGATGATGACTTGCACCATGTTTCAGTCAAGTCAATATTACTGAGGTTTCGCAAGTGCAAAGCTCACCCCACAACATCGTAAATACCACAACACCAATCCAATTCCATACGGTGTACATAACCCAGCCTGACGAATCCGGTCAGTGATCAGCCTTGGGTAGCACACTGCAAACAGACTCACATCTGTTGCAGTATAGTGTGGCAGTCATTAGTGAACCAATAAATTAGTAAAGAATCACACCCACTGCTACAGGGCGCCATAGTTAATTAGAGGGGAATAGTAATAGATATCTGTGCAGAAGACTCACCGTATCAGTCAACGAGATAGTCGGAACATTGACTGTATGTCGTTGGTCAGAAGAGGCAAAGACAGCGAATGTACTAAAGAGACATACTTGGTATGTACAGGCTGATTGTGAGAGATAGACGATTAGCACAACACCAATTGTGTATCCTTCTGAACATACGCAGCGTATAAGAATCCAAGGTAACGCGTCTAGGATACTTTCAAGTCAGTACAACATGGCGACTGTGACCAACAAGCTACATACGCCGAGATACATGACTGTCATCAGGGACCATCGTTGTCTCTGGAATCAAGTGTATTTTTATGTGTTCCTCTGACACCAGACTCTACTCACCCAGATCAATTCCACCTATGAAGCCATTCTCAGCGAGATGGCTGCTCCGGTCATACCGTCGACATACCTCTTGTCCGAATGTGAGTGCTGAAAATATTCGTAAGACGTCAGCAGTCTTTAAATGTTATGATGCTCACACCAATCATACATCACTGCAACAAAGGCGGCGACTGCGAAACCACAGCCAAGGTTAGACTGAGTCAGCTTCAACATCCGACTGCTCTCCACGAACCTATAAAATAGCTGCCCAAACTATATGCATTGATGGCCGACCACCAAGCGGGATCATCTGAGACGTAGGTCATATTGGTAGAGAATGGGTGTGGGCGAGAGGCGAACTTGGTGGACGTAAGACGATGGCATTCATACTAGTTATACCACCATCCGGCAAGTAAATTGGCGAAACGAGATCGGGAGATGATGACCGTTCCTGCTTTGATTGGTCGAAGTGGATATTTTTGGATGAGGAAAGATAAATCAATCCAGGGGATCATAGTAGATGTTGGTCATAAAAATGCACATTGCGTCAGCATGACACCGGAACAGAAAAGTCAGCCGTCAAATCGCACGAAGAAATCCTACTCTGGCTACCAATACCTCTCAGCGAGCATACGTCTCAAAGTCGCTTCATGCGCACCCTCTTGCTCTCCATCTCAGACATTGGACTATCGTATCATCTGAATACCAGAAATGGTAAGCACGAAATATTTGATTTGTATCGTAGAGTTGGTGCGGTGGTAAGGGGCATCAGGTTTCACCGGAGACGTGAGATTCCGTGGTTGATGGATGACGAAGATACAACATCACACCTATATCAAGAGAGCATTGAGAGCAGATGAGAGAAAATGATGCTCAGATGCACAATCGCTGAAGGCGATAACATTCCGTTGGCACCTCATCAGAAGCTGGTAATTTGAAGAAGTTGGAGGAATAACTCACCGGATCATACAGCTACCAAGGTTCAAGGCACACCATCAACGCTTATTCTAATGAAACCCGATCCAAAATGCAGATGATGCCCTCCTGTTGACTCTTCGTAGGGTAGCCTGAGTGGGAATGTGGATTGGAACGCCGTCTATATTTCGCATGAACCAGCTACTATAACGACGCCCGAGACTGCACCGACACCTCAGAACTCCGACTGACGATCAATATTTGAGAATTCATGTGGCGTTAGAGCCCTTGCATGCTAACCGATTATACCAAGCAGATTCTATATGGGTACGCTTGACGAAAACTAATTGAAAAAAGAAGGGATACTCACCGTGGATGTAAACTTGCTGCGAACAAGCTGTATGATTTCATCGGGTGGTCTTTGTGAATTTTTTAAAAAGTGTGATGCCATGGCCTAAAGACTAAGTACGTACTTTAATTTGGAACACTGGGGATGCTGGCGTACCCAGTCGCAGACCGTGCGAATGTCAAACTAGCCGCATAGCTAGTTCATGATGCTAAGGCGGGCATGGGCGTTTGAGAACAAGAATATATCAGACGAGCAGCCTCAGTGCGAACCAGACAGTCTAGACTCCAGTACTTGATCGGCAGGCGAAGCACGGAGTTTGAAATTTGCAGCCTCTGTTCCAGAAGCACCTAACGAGCGAATTCCATAAAACTTGCGTGGGTGACCCATTCAATGTGTACAAGTACAAAACTTCCCACTTGACTCGATATCATTACCTTGCATTCTCCCCCTACTAAGCTTGCGCATCGGTACAGGCCACGACTCTGGAATGCATTCCCGTGGAAAAACGTGAGCTTCCACGCATTCAATAATCCCATCTTCGACTTGCAATTTGAGACTCGACTGTCACCATCATGCTAGTCACACTCCAGCGTTTGTGCTGCTCAGAGCGACTCGTGTCATTTTGTCTATCACTTGTGCGTACTGAAATTCTCGTCCAGTCTATTCTTATAACAATTTGCAATACAGCGCACTTCAAATGGCTTCAAACATCCCCTTCTCCAAAGTAATGCCCTCAAATCTCCCAGAGTGTCACCACAACTTAGAATATCCTTGCACGTACATTCCAAATCCTGAATCAATCTAACGTCGAATCTCGATGATGACATCTTGGTTGCATACCAGCTACATTGAAAAATTCATCTCGATCTCACTATCACGTCCACAGCCTGACCTCAAGTAGCAGATACTCGACTCCTGCACTATTGCTGGTGCTGGTTCCTGCATGTCCGTTCCTAGGTGCGTCCCTTGTCGCTGTTTCGGACCACGTCAACAAGCTGGTTTATGTTTAGTGTCCGGTTAGCATCCTGGATTCCTTCAAATTCCTCGGACTCCACAGAGGCGCTGGGTCTGAGCTGAAGGATTGCGTCCTTCATATCACAATGTTTGATAGGGCACATGTATCCCCCAGTAGTGCTTCAGCAACAACCTTAAACAAATTTATATTTGTATCCGTATGTCCACCTCGGCGAACGAAAGTGAAAGGGAGGCTCGTCCACAAGCATTAACCAACTTCAGCCTCCTCAAGACTAATCAAGTATGCCTCGCATCATTACGCTACGCATGCATGAACCACCTTGTAATTACCTTGAATGCACCATCTGTAGGCCACTTGTCGTGAGTCAGCTGGAAAAAAACAAGGTAGCAGTTCATAGGACATTGCATGAGGCGAGAAGATGAATCGAGTACGAATTACTGAAGAACTGAAGCAGTGCGCTGTCACTCGACCTCCCCCTCGCGCGCTGCTTAAGCAATCATATGAATTATTGTCATCATATAGAGAAAATAAGAACCGCAAGTCTGCGTGGGCAGCTGGTGCCAGTAGAGATATTTAAATATTATCAACACATATAGCAAATCACTTGACTGAATAATACGACGAAAATTTTGCATGTCTCCTTGAAAACTACTTCGGAACACGAATCAATACCTTCAAGAAAGTGGTAATAAATAAAAGCAAATTTCCCTGCTCTTTGGAGAGCACCAGACAACCGTTAACTCCACCGATGATCACACACCATTGCCAGTCGATATATGCACGCGCTCCTGGAAAGCGATTGAGATCATACCAGTTGCTGCGTCAGAATCGGCCACGAGCTTAGCATGGTATTCCCGAACACCAAGGATCAGGCGCGATCCCAACACAAACATCTGCACGACCTGCGAAATCTGAAGAAATCCATAAATAATCTGAGTGTCCAGGGAATCGGCCTATAGAGACGATAAATTGTGGTAGCGTGCATAGGCAGATTGACATACCATTGATAATGTCGGAGAGAAAATAGCAATGAGCTCGACGCAAGAAACAGCAACAAAGCTACCACAGCCGGCTCGTCAGTGGAAAAAGCAACAATAATCACAATATGAGCTTACCTCGCAGAGTAAACCACGTGAGTTTTCATCAACATCGTGAAATAGTCCTGGATAATCCCTCCTGCCGAATGTTGTCGCATTTCACGTAAGTGTTTTATCGCAATCCAGACTGCGAGACATAATGCGATGACCTCCCACACGGTGCCGAGTATCCAAGTAATGGAATCTAGAAATATGATATCTTCCGGATAGTAAATCTGGCACTGATAAGTGCCGGAGAGAATGAGTTCCTCTGGTATCAATGAGTCTCATGCACGTTTATTTTCATTCACAATTAAACGCACCCCCTGAAGTATGCTTCGTTGTCGTCATAGCGACCACTGCGTCGAAAGTGTTGATAGCCAGGAAGGTGACAATGAGAAATATCAGGATCTTTCTGGATCCTTGATACATAGCATTCAGCCGAGCGATGATGATGACTTGCACCATGTTTCAGTCAAGTCAATATCACTGGGGTTTCGCAAGCGCAAAGCTCACCCCACAGCATCGCAATTACCACAACACCCATCCAATCCCATACGACGAAGATAATCCAGCCTGAAGAATCCAGTCAGCGACCAGCCTCGGGTAGCACACACTCCAAACAGACTCACATCTGTTGCATTATAGCGTGGCAGACATTAGTGAACAAAGAAATTAGCAAAGAACCACACCCACTGCTACAGGGCACCACAGTTAATTGGAGGGGAATAGCAAGCATCTGTGCAGAAGACTCACCGTGTCTGTCAATGAGATAGTCGGAACACCCACTATGTGTCATTGGTCAGAATAAGCACAGATAGCGAATGTACTAAGGGAACATACTCAGAATGTACAGACTGGTTATAAGACATAGACGATTAGTACAACACCGATCGTGTAGCCTTCTGAATATACCCAGCAGATAAGATTCCGAGGTAACGCGCCTAGGATACTTTCAAGTCAGTATAACATAGCAACCACGACAAACAAGCTACATATACCGAGATACATAGCTGTCATTAAGGACCATCGTTGTCGCTGGAATCAAGTGTATTTTCACGCGTGTTTCTCTGATACCAGACTCTACTTACCCAGATCAGTTCCACCTATAAAGCCATTCTCAGCGGGATGACTGCTCTGGTCATACCATCAGCATACCTCTTGTCCGAATGTAAGTGCTGAAAATAATCATAAGACATCAGCTGTCTTTCAATGTTATCAGGCTCACCCCAATCATACATCACTGCAACACAGGCGGCGACTGCGAAACCACAGCCAAGGTTAGACTGAGTCAACTTCAACATCCGACTGCTCTCCACGAACCTGCAAAATAGCTGCTCAAACGATATGAATTGATGACCGGCCACCAACTGGGATCATTTGAGACTACAATCATATTGGTAGAGAATGGGTGTGGATGAGAGGCAAACTTGGTAGATGTATGTCAATAACATTCGCAGTATCATATACATGTATACCGCTAATGATCCGGTGCGAAATGAGATCAAGGGGTGAAATCTGTGCAATCCACGTGGATCAAGCAGTTGCATGATGGTCATCAGGCTGTCGTATCGTAAGGATGCTAATCAAAATAGTACCAGTGCAGAATCTTCAATTTACAACGTGGATGTGAAAGTCGACGAGCGGTAATGTTCACTTGTCAGGTGGAGTTCTCGTACTCCTTGTGTATAGAAGATTTAATTCCAGCTTGGAACTTTGGAGGTTAGGAGATGCCTTGAGCGTTAACTCTTCTCAGCAGACGAGTATGAGATTCGGAGGCAAAACAACTTGTTAACATATATGTGGAGACAACCTGAAGTATCGCTTATAAGTAGTGAATGAGGCCTGAGGTACGGAACGTGGAATTAGTCGTATCACTGAAAATCAATAATATTGTGTTCCTGTTTCTCCCTTCGGGTCTTCCCGTGTCTCGTTGTCTTGGACCTTGCCCTTTGCCCCTGCGGCTCTTGCCCCGTGCAATTCGGCATGACGATCATCCGTTCGCAATCTTCATTGCCACCTCCTTTAGTGGAGATAGCAGTCTATGTCTAGCGAGACGAATTCGAAATGGCTCTCTGCCTTTTCTCACTCGAGTTTCTCGTCTCGCTACTAGGTACACTGTTGTTATCCATTCGGTTGGTATATTCTCATTTGTCTCCGGAATCCATGGGTTCCCGTGTGCTCGCGACGGGGTCCCTTGGGTTATTTGCTGGCTAAATCCTTGCCGTCTGGACTCTGCATCCTATCGAGATAAGCGAGGACAATCAGAATGAAGTTGAAGTCGTCATACATAAGTACTAATGGGAAAAGAACATACCTTTAATGCGTTGCGGCTTTGGTTTAAAGTGTTTTGTCTTACCCTTCTTAACTTCTGCATACTCATCGTCTGCGTAATCCACGACACCCATTATAATCACTGCAAGCATCCGAGCCCATCGATTAAAACATGGTCAATGTTACAGGTGCTGACCGGATTGTCGTTGATAGCGAGGATGAAGACGCCTTACGTCGACCGCTTGAAATTGCTGACTGAAGCGGCCTCACCCCGTTTTCTACAAGCCCAGAAAAGATACTACAGTGCCTGGCATTCACTGTGACATTCCCTTCTTCGAGTAATGCCCTCAAATCTCCAAGGGTATCACCACGAACTATAACATTCTTGTACGCACGTTCTCAATCTTCAATTTTAAATCAATCTAACGTCAATGACATTTTAGCCGCATGCTAGCTACATCGAAAGATTCACATCTCCTGGCTCGACCTTGCTATCATGCATGTCCGTTCCTGGGTCTCCTGTCACCGTTTTGAACCACGTCAACAAGCTGTTTTATGTTTCATATGCGATTCCCAGACCATTCCTTCAAATTCCTCTCACTCCACGTATGCATTGGGTCTCAGTTGAAGAATCGTAGCCTTCGTATCACAAATGTGCAACACGGTACTTGTATCCCCAAGTAGTACTTCAGCAACAATCCTAAACCCATTTGTATCCGTATCCGTATTTCCACCTCATCCAACAAAAGTGAAAGGCAAAGCTCCTCCGCAAGCATTAACCAACTTCAGCCTCGAGACTCACCAAGTGTGCCTCGCATCATCAAGCTGCGCATGCACCAACATGCTTCGCGTACCTTGTAATTACCTTGAATGGATCATGACATCTGTAAGTCAGTTGGCGTGAGTCAGGTTAGAAAACAATGGTGGGACATTCAATGGGGCGAGAAGATGAATTGCAGCTCGATTGCTGAGGAACTGAAGCAGTGCGCTGTCGCCCGACTGTCCTCTCGCGCGCTGCCTAAGCAATCATATGAGCGAGTGTCATCACACAGAGAAAATAAGGACCAGTGGTTGGTGCGAGTGTGCGTGGGCAGCTAGTTCTAGTAGAGATCTTCATCGATTTAAACATTACCAGCACATATAGCGAATCACTTGACTAAATAATACGACGAGAACTTTGTATGTCTCTTGAAATCTACTTCAGAACACTAGATAACACCTTCAAGAAAGTGGTAATGATTAGAAACGAAATCCCCTGCTCCTTGTACAAATGTTAACTTCACCTCACACACCACTGCCCGTAGATATTTGCACACGCTCCTGGAAAGCGATAGAGGCCATACCAGTTGCTACGTCAGAATCGGCCACGAGCTTGGCGTGGTATTCCCGAACACCAAGGATCAGGCGCGGTCCCAACACAAACATCTGCACGACCTGCAAATTCTGGAGAAACCCAATCATAATCTGCGCATCCAGGGAAATGCTCTATAGAACCGATAAATTGTGGTAGCGTGCATAGGCAAGTGTAAGATTGACATACCGCTGAGAATGTTGGAGAGAACGCAAGAATGAGATGAAAGCAAGAAACAGCAACAAAGCTAGAACGTCCGACCCATCAGTGGTAAAAAGGAACAATAATCACGATATGAGTGTACCTCGCAAAGTAAAGCACGTGAGTTTTGATCAGCACCGTGAAACAGTCTTCGATAATCCCTCCTGCCGAATGTTGTCGCAGTTCACGGAAGTGTTTTACCGCAATCCGAACCGCGAGACATAGTGCAAGGACCTCCCACACAGTTACGAGTATCCAAGTGATGGAAACTAGTAGTGGCATATCTTCCCCATAGCTAATCAAGCAGTGATGAGTGCCGGAGAGAATGAGTTCCTCTGGTATTCATCGTTGAGCCCCATGCACATTTTGTTCTCATCCACAATTAAACGTACCCCCTGAAGCCTGCATTGTCGTTATTACATTGGCCACTCCGCTAAAAATGTTGACAGCCAGGAAGACGACAATGAGATATATCAGGATATTTCTGGATCCTTGATACATGGCATACAGCCGAGCGATGATGATGACTTGCACCATGTTTCAGTCAAGTCAATATCACTGAGGTCTCGCATGTGCAAAACTCACCCCACAGCATCGGAGTTACCAAAACACCCGTCCAATCCAATACGACGAACACAATAAAGCCTGACGAATCCAGTGAGTGACCAGCCTCAGAAGCACAAACTCCAAACAAACTCACAACTGTGGCAGTATAGCATGGCAGTCGTTAGTAATCCAAGAAGTTGGTAAAGAACCACACCCACTGCTACAGGGCACCACGGTTAATTGGAGGGGAATAGCAATAGGCATCTGTGCAGAAGACTCACTGTATCTGTCAGCGAGATGGCCGGAACATTGTCTGACTGCCGTTGGTCAGAAGAAGCGAAGACAGCGAATGTATTAATGAGACATACACATGATGTACAGGCTGCAAAACGATTAACACATCACTGATCATCTAGCCTTCGGAACATACGCAGCGTATAAGATTCCAAGGTAACGCACCTAGGATAATTCCAAGTCAGTACTGACAGTACAACATGGCAACAGTGACAAACAAGCTACATACACCGAGATACATCACTGTCATTAGGGACCAGTGTCGTCTCTGGAATCAAGTATATGTTCATGTGTGTTCCTCTGACGCCAGACTCAACTCACCCAGATCAGTTCCACCTATAAAGCTAGTCTCAGCGAGATGGCCGCTCCGGTCATAGCATCGACATACCTCTTGTCCAAATATAAGTGCTAAAAATAATTTCAAGATATCGACAGTCCATTAATTTTATCATGCTCACCCCAATCATACGCCACTGAAACACACGCGGCAACTGCGAAACGGCAGCCAAGGTTAGATTGTGTCAGCTTCAACATCAGACCGCTCTCCACGAACCTATAAAATAGCTGCCAAAACGATATGCATCGATGATCGGCCACCAAGTGGGATCATTTGAGATTACGGTCATATTGGTAGAGAATGGGTGGGGGTGAGAGGCGAACTTGGTGGACGTATGACGATGGCATTCGTACTAGTTATGCCACCATCCGGTGCGTAGATCAGCGAAACGAGATCAGGGGATGACAACCGTTCCTGCTTTGATTGGTCAAAGTAGATGTTTGCATGAAGACAAATCAATCAGGGACCATGGTCTATTTTGGTCGTGAAACACTTGCGGGAGCGAAACACTTCAACACCGCAAAACATCTAACGACATGGAGTGTGAGAGAAAGTGGGAAAGAAAGATAGGCTCGTACGAAGTCGTAACCATCATGATTCTGCTTACGCGCGCGTTTCCAGATTTTGAAATATAAACAGAGAACGTGGGGGCAAGGCAAAGCAAGTCGCCTGAGTGGAAATATTCGTCACCACTTGCTATGTAGTCGACCAGAAACCAAGAAGCACGCATGGCCAGGCTCGGCATGTCGGGTATCTTTTCCGATGAGTCGTACGTTCGTGTGCAGGACCTCACCTAGGCAAGCCCAGCCCACTAGTGCAAGTCACAGCCTAAGCGCAGAGACTAAGTAACATAAGATGGCATCAGTAAGTAAATGGGTCTAAGTGGAAATTGCCGCAGAAAACGGAAGACGTCGATCGAGATTCGAGTGCTTCGTCATCATGTGGCCGGTGGATTCTTAGAACGTTCGTCCAGCACGTCCGAAGTAGTGAGATCGATATGAAGCAAACGAGCTCGTGTCCTACCTGGGCTACCGAAACCTCCCTGCGAGCACATATATCAATGTCTCATCTCGTCTTTAGGCCATAGGTCGCTTCATGCGCACCCTCGTATCATCTGAATGCCAGAAATGGTGAGCCCAGAATACTGTATTTATATTGTGGAGTTAGTGCGGTGGTAAGAGACATCAGGTTTTACCAGAGACGTCCTGGTTGAATTCCCTGCAATTGATGATACAACATCATCCCTAAGAGAGCGTTGAGAGACGAAATGAGAGAAAATGATGCTCGGATGCACAATGGTTGAAGGCGGCTCACCGTGTCATATAGCTGCCATTGCACACCATCAACCTTATTCTGATGAAAAACAATCCAAAACGTGCCACACTGAATCCACCATGCAGTTGATGCCCCTTCGTCACGACTGACGCTTTTGCAGGGTAGCCTGAATGGAAATGTGGATTACAACGCCTGTCTATATTCGCATGAACCAGCTATCATAACGACGCCCGAGACTATACCGACATCTCAGAACTCCGACTGATGAACGATCAAGATCCGAGAACGCAGATAATGCGTGGCGAGAGGATCTCAGGATGCACAGGTTGTGCAGAGGGGTGATGCAGTTCGGCGGGGAGGTAGATAGTGGACATCCCTGTTCGGGTAGCGTACAGGATGATAAATTGATGCAAATATACAATAGAGCTCTGGGAGAAAACAAAGGCTGACGCACCGCAGGAAGCCCAGACTTTTGTTCTAACAGTCATTGTGTAGTCGATGGCAAATTGATGCCCATATAATTTCCCAAATGGATATCAGCAGCATCTCTGCATCGCTTCCTTCCTCTGAAGACTTGAGTTCGGGAGCGTAGCAAATGCGAGAATATGGTAAGGGTCCTCCTTTATATCACTGTTAGTGTTTTGTACTTGGGAAACGAAACAAGAGAAATGGCACGACTCACTTCTCTGGAGTCCAGACGGTCAACGTACACACCTCAACGCAAGTTCGCCTTCCTCCGAGTCCTACATCGCAAGTCCTCCGTCCAGGATTCCAGGAATCAGTCGCCGAGTGATCACTGATGTACACTTGCTCGCTCTCCTCTGCCGGTGAAACCCCAATAAAAACTCGTCACACTAAATCCTTCACAATTGGTGTCATCCGAACCGACCTCAGACAATCTGACCAATTCGCGCGTAGCATGATGATTTGGCTGTGGCTACGTGCAGCCTGATGTATTTTCTAGTCTGTTCAACTTGCCTTGAAGGTCAAACACAGATGCTCCTAACGCGCACTAAGACTTTGCATTGTGCATCACTGAGAGACTCGAAGTCGTGAAGATAAGAATAAGTTATTACAACTTCGAGGAACAAGGCAAGAACATGAACTTGAATGATTCGGTCAGAGCAGACCTATTGAAGCGTGTCACGTGCCAAGATATAATTGTGCCCTGCTACTTCCGCTACAACCTTTCCATGGGCCATGGCATCCGTCATCCCGATTATTTTCATACTCGCCGTAGTCCTAGGACTGATTGCTTGTGGCTACCTCTTCGTCCCAAAGGGCCCACATCAAACGTATGCTTTCTTCATTTTGTCTCAATCTGAACCAATACCCTGAATGCAGGACAATTCGTACGGCCATCATGCTCACATTCGCATCATGTTATCTTATGTGGATGGTCACATATATGGCCCAGCTACATCCTCTCATCAGTAAGTCATGAAACTTGTTGATATAGTTTTATTGGCTAATGCAGCGGCATGAACTTAAGCGCCATATCGTTCAACAAAGAGCGGAGAGAGTTTATGATGATCAAGCGCCGTCTGAGCGGGAAATAGACATACACCGCTGTCGCTATGATAGATTCTGCGTTAATTAAAGAACACCCAAGTTGGAGTCCGCTGTTCCAGATCAGTAAGTGCCTCACCGCATGTAAGGTGGTCTTGCGTTTGAAAATGGATTACATTCATAGATATGTATCGCATCTGTCCAGTCTCAGGTACCTGTTACGACTATGTCTCAAAGAATCTGGGCTTTTTTCTTGGCCATGCGACTGTAAAGGCGTGTGCGGATCGTTGATCTCAGCATGTATCTGGCTGTGAAAATTCGTGTTTCTACATAATACAGTGTCTTTCATTGCGCGTCATCAGAGTTCTGCTACCTTTTCATGTTTCGCGCACTAGGCCCGGTTCGACACATCACTTTACTGAGAGAAGTCAAACACAGTCCAACTGTAACTGATTCACGTGTAGCAGGATGATCTGCAGAACGAATGCCAGCGGTGTTCCACGTTGCAACCGCTGCACGCGTGTGACTGCTTTGCCACAATGAGTTGGTGGGTTTCTCATTATTAGTTTCTCAGCTCATTCTACGGTTTAACAAGTAGTAGGTCCACTGTCGTCTGGGCGATCATCGATCATGGCTCTACCCGACGTCGTGGGAAAATACTTACTCTCGTTTAATGCAGGAACCAATGTCCTCAGAATCATATATATTTCCTGACTCCTTTGGCTTGGCGTACCGATGCAGTCTGCCATAAAAACCCTGTCGTTTATCACATTGGTGCGGCCCTACGTCCACCTCGTTCGCCTTACGTGTATCCTTGAATAATTATGACCCTGGTCTCAAACGATCCTACCTGGTGGCCGACGATCCATTCAAATCGTGTAGCCAGCTATTTTATGGGTGGGTGGAAATCATCTCAGATGATATTTCGATCTCACCTTGGCTGCGGTGTGTAGTTGCCGGTTCTGTTGGAGTGATATACGATTTGGGTGAGTAATATTGTCTTCAAGAACCGCTGACATCTTTATGATATTTCTAGTGCTGACGTTTGGACAAGAGGTGGGTCAATGCCATTATTGGCAGTCATCTCGCTCAGAAAGGCATTACAGGTCGAACTGGTTTGGGTGAGCAGGGTCTCCGCTCAGGATAACAGGATAGAAATTTATTTGATTTGTGACAGATGCAACCCTGGTCCCTGATGTCCATTCTGTATCTCAGTGTATGTAGATTGCGTTATGATTCCGCAAGTTGTGCTGACCTGAAAAAATCTTACATAGGTGCGATACCTTGGAATAGTATATGCTATGTGTGTTTGGATGGTCAACTATTTGGTGTTGTGCTAATTAATCATTTCTCGCAATCAGCATCCAGATTCTTGGTATGTCATCTGATTCACCGTGTTTTATTCCTCTGACCAACTTACAGACGGTGTTCCGACGATCTCAATCACAGATACAGTGAGTAGTCTGCGTCTATGTTTGCCATTCTCATCCAATCAACCACACTTCCATGTAGGGGTGAGTGAGATTCTAGCCCATTATTTCAATGTATTGACTGTCGCAGCTGTGAGTATTTCGAGTCTGAATCTCCGAGGCGGATCGCCAACTTGATTTGCCAGGCCACATTATGTATAATGCAATTATTTGGATGACTCTGGCCGTAAATGTAATGCTGGGCGGTGAGCATTACCATTGTGATATTCTAGTGACATTACTTGACTGAAACACCATTCAAGTCATTACTTTGACTCGGTTGTATGCCATGTATCAGCGATCCAGAAAGATGCTGATATTTCTCGTGGTCACCCTCCTGGCTGTTAATATATCTAATGGAGTGCTCCTCACAATTGGAATGAGGCATGCCTCACAGGGTAGGCTTTAGCGAAACACTTAAATGCCTCAGGCTCATTGACGGTTATTTACCAGAGGAGCTTGTTCTCTTCGGCACCTATCAGTGCACTGTTAGCTACGAGGGAGATGTCCAAATTTTGAAGTCCATGCCTTGGATACTCACTACTGCATGGGAAGTCCTTGCACTGTGTCTCGCAGGCTGGATTGCTGTACACCACTTCAGTGATCTTCAGCGACACTCAGCAGGAGGGATTATTGGCGATTTTATTACAGTGCTAATGAAAACACACGTGGTTTATTTTTCGAGGTGAGCCCATAACGCGGATGTGGTTTCTTTTCCGCTGAAAATGCGCATGCACTAGCTTTGTTGTTGTTTCTTTCTTCTGGCTCGGTGAGGTTTCTCCGACGTTCACAACGGTATATCAATCTGTTACTGTCCTTGGCATACTACGATGACTCATCATTTCTGTAGGACATTTTTTCCCTGAAAACTGAGATCTATCGTGGGTTCCTTCAAATCATCTTGGTCATGCAGTTGTTTGTGGCGGGACCGCGCCTGATCCTTAGCGTTCGACGTTATCGCGCTGAGCTCATGGCCTGCTCTAATACAGCAACGGACCTGGTTTCAATTGTCCTCCAGGAGCGCGGGCATATGTCAACTGCCAGTAGTATATAGCACGAAAAATGTTTGATGCGATTAGCACATGCCGGGTTAACGTTCCTCTGCACACTATATGCGAAAAATATCTAACACCCATATCCTCATGCATGTAGGGGGCAAACTCTGTTGTGCGTCCCCACGGATCAGTGGCGTTCGTCTATAGGGCCGATACACAAGAATTCAGTACTACATGGCATTCGGTGATTAATTTCACATCATGAGGCATAGGCGGGTCAATACCTCAGGCAGATCCTTATCGGACCTTAACCATTTCTATAAGACATATGCGACGATGTATCATCCATGAATCATGATTTGAACACACTTCTAAGTAGCTAATCACGATGTATAGTACTTGATGGGTGGGATGTAACGGCGAGCAGTAATAACGATAATAACAGACTCGTCACAAGACCACAGGAATACACGTTGGATGTTACAGACAAAACAACAAAATGGTTTAAGGAAGATGAAAGTGCAACATAAAACACAAATAATATAAGTAAGAGTAAGGATAATGTACGTGGGACAACGGAAACAATCTGGATATGGACGTGTATGGAAAAGCAGTTCGACAAGAAAGCATAGCAGTTCGTGGCAAAGTTAGACAGTATCATTATCCGCCGGGTATCAAACATAACATCGAGGAACTCAGACGAGCGCAGCAGATTGCAAGTATCCTCGGAAAATCGAGTCTCGTACTGCATGATGGATAAGTGGCCGGAAGGCTGTGTGATTGCAATTCTAGAACGTACCATTTCCTATGATGCTCTGGGTTGCCTTGGTATCCTGAACACGCGCCAAGGTACGAGTCAGTGCTAGCGTTGAACGGGCAGTGAAATGAAAACAGAACGTACAACAACATTGGTCAAGTGCGTATACAGCACACGTCTGTTTTCGTTATTCCGTCTGTGGACTTGGAGAAAGTGGGCACGGAAGTATTGTACAACCGACTCGTACTCGTTTGGACGGTCGCCATACGAGAGAATGCTAAGGCCAGCTCCGTAAGCATGTTACAGATGAGAACTACGAGGACCTTACTATTTTGAGACAGATAGCCCTCGCTCAAGCTTCTTTTTTAGGATATCAGTCTTGTCTGCGGTGGTAGCTTGTATTAAAACACTTTGTGGGACCACTAGCGTGAGACAACCTACTCAGGAATAAGACTAGATGGACCTTCTTGAGGAGCTGATTGGAGCAGATCTGTGTAAAGAGTTGAAGCGAATCGTCGATACGGTTGGTGCGAGGATCTTCCTCGAGGTACTGGGAAGAAGGTATGTAAAGATACCACAAACAGCGGGTGCTGAAGCTCTCACCTGATCAAAAGCACTGATTGGGCTGACAAAAATTATGGCGTTTGCGTCGTCGAAGTACGGCACCCACGAATGACGCTGTCCCCTGGCGCCACCAACGTCAAAGAGATGCCACGTCACAGTCTTGCCATGAATGTCAACGTCAAAAATATGCTCAGCAACACCCATAGTTTGGATGCGTGCATGGAGAATATCATCTATGAAGAGGTGAGCATGGAGACATTGACTCGACAAAAACGCGCACCAGTAGACGGTACATAATTCCGTGCCGAGATACGTGAGATGTCATTCAAGAAACTGAGCAAAATTCCATTTTTAGAGAAGAGGAAGAAGCATATATGCGCACACTCACAACTCTGACCACTCATCTAGCTTTAATTTTCGACTTGTCATCAAGGCACGGACAACCTGGTTCTCCCACAAGGTCCTGATATCGTCCCTCGACTGTTCTAACATTCTTGCGACATCATCCACAAGAGGGTCAGCATCGATAACTGACAGAGCTGTTCCAGGACGCTCAATCGTCAGTTCGTCCTCGGGTGAACTGGGCTTTGGTTGCCTGCGGAGTAGCTTCTGACCTTTTTGGATGGTCCTCGCCTGCCATCCGCTCCGAACGTAAACTTCGCCTTTACCGGACCCTGACACAGAGACGCCCCCACTTAAGCCATCAGCAAGCTGAGGCTCAGTATTTGTGAGTGGTAGAAGTCGTCGCCGGAGATCAGATATCGCAGTCGATCCCCGAATGGGACTAGACGCAGTTGGACTAGTGGGTGACGTAGGTGACGGCGGCGAAAGGGCTACTCCGATTTGTGAACTGTGTATACTGGGTGTTGCCGAACTTGAAGCCCGAGTGGGAAGATAATCACCGAGTTCCTGACGCTCGAGAGTGCTCTGAGAGTCACTCCCATCATCGATGTCGTCCCAAGCTTCCAGGGTTGTAAGGATCTTTTTGATAGATCGCACGACATTGAAATATACGACGGTTCTCCATGACATGCGCTCGCTTTCAAGAGAAGCAGGGCTATACATGAGCTGAAATTGCTTTTGCAGGGTTGATTTGCCAGATTCAGCCTGGCCAAGGAGAAGTAACTATGGCATACGATGGTGATCAGCTCCACAGCCCAATCGTGCCAAAAGATAACTTGAAATGACCTTGACATCACTTTTGGACTTTTTCAACCTTTCCCTCTCAAACCTGAGTTCTTCGTCTATCTGTTCTGAGATTCGACGCGCTTCGGCTTCGTGCTGCAGCCGAATATGGCGATCTGAGTCTGATTCTTCTGGAGGAGGCCTTATAGCAAGAGACAAAGGGTCATCTTGACTACGAATGGAAGAAGTTCGTATCATCGTGGTACAAAGACAAGTGCGGAGAGAGACAAAAAGCCGTTGTATTACTTATACGAAGAATGGTTTCGAGAGAACTATTAAAGACCAAGCCAGTCACAGCCCGTCGCATCACATTGTCACATTGTCACACATGGTAATTCGTCCTTCTCCTCCATCAACGCATATACTGACTCGTAGCCATCTTATAGTCTGTAACGCTTCACACAAGTCACGGCGAGCTCAAGGTGCGCTTATATACGCCCAACTAAAATCTCTGCGATTCACTCGGAAATTTTGGGTGATTCAGATCGAGATATTCTGCGAGGCTGTCCCCAAAACGGCAGAGGTATGGAATTGCTTCCGTTTATCTCTTCCGAGCCTGACAAGCCCTAGAACTTTCTTGCGCTATGCGCTTCGAATTATTATGATAATTGCATATTTCACCGCAGCATCAAAGGGTTCATGGTCCAGACGGGCGATCCTTCTGGCTCAGGAAAAGGTGGCCAAAGCATATGGGGGAAACCTTTCGAAGATGAATTGCGGTCTACTTTGAAGGTACCGGATACCTTTACCCGCGCAGATGGATCTTCACCAATCGTTTTTGTAGTTTAACCATCGTGGTATAGTCGCCATGGCGAACTCCGGCCCCGATACGAACAAGTCGCAATTCTTCATAACCTATGCAAAACAGCCTCATCTGGACAACAAATATACGATTTTTGGCAAGGTCATTGATGGTGCGGAGTCCGCACTTGATGCCATGGAACGTGTACCTGTGAACAATAAGAACAGACCGCTTTCCGAGATCAAACTGACTCATGTATGTTATCACTGGTGGATTAGGCAGCAAGTGCGCTGATAAGATATTCTTTGATCATCATTAGGTGACCATTCATTCGAATCCCATTGCGGACGCTCAGTTAGTCTCACGTTAATCCTAAAACCAACCTTTTGTTTGTTTGAGTGCGAACTCCAAAATCGTCACATCAGATGAATGTTCTTTACTGCTATAGAACACCTCAGGGTATGCTAACGTTTAATAAAACCAACCAGTTCTTTCTGCAACTCTCTTTGTCGTCGCGCTTTTTCTAGGTCATCCATGCTTCGTAGATCATAGACGATATCACGTGTTTTGCCAAAGTACACCTGTGCTATGATCAGGTCCTGAATGTCTCGAGAAAGAAAACTTCGTGCCTCCTGAAGAAGATTTCTCATTTTCATTTCCATCTCTTCGATCATCTTTCCCGTGTTCGTAATATGTGAAGTCGGTTCATGAACAGGCCAGTCCTGCTCGGTCTGCGGGAAGTGAAGGTGTGTGACAGCCCACATCAGGTTAGATGAGGAAGCCTACCTGTCTCGTCATGCTTCCACTTAAAGTGATTTCCCCGGACGACTTCCATCCTTGCTCGGAAGCCTTTTTTTCGGGTTCGTGGAGAACGGAGGTTTCATCGGCCTTATTGTTCTGTTTCGTCACGAGCTCCAACATGACAGTAGATGTGAGTTTGTAGTGGGCTTGTCTTCCGCGCTCCACGGTCTCGAAGACGTGGATCGAGTCCCATGAACCTGAAGGCTCGTCAGGGCTTGTGGGTGTCATCGCTAAGGTGCAGGCGGTTAAAGACACGATCTTAGAACGTCGAAAACACAGATATCAGTCGCACCCTTTTTTAGCAACACAACACCTGCAAAGCCGCCATCTTCCAGATCCCAAAGATAAACAGAAGACACGCCACCTTCGTAATATCTATTGTCGAAATTTATCAGATGATACTTGTGTGAAGATTTACTACAAGCCCATTCATGTATGACACGTACAGTTCGCGATATGTATCGAACGCCTCATTGGCGGCAATCTCAAGCTTGCGAAGCTTCGGCGTTGGTGCGGTACCATCGTCTATGGGAGGATCGTATTCATTCGACCAGGGTGACCTGAAGAAGCGCGTTAGTACACGAATTACACTGTCTCGGATGCATGAAATAGAATTAGAGCCCTTGCCGCTCCACAAGACCCAACTTATGCAGTCGCCTTGAACACATTCGCCGGAAGCGCAGCAGAAGACTCACCGATAACTATCACCGTCCCTATTGTAATCGCATGCAAGATAGTCCTTCCCTGTGGCTCTGTCTGTCTTGACCTTCAAAGGCTGGTCGACACTACCTAGAAGATCATCTGCATAGTCCGGGCAGATCTGTATGAGCGCGTTCACGTTCTGCTCGACATTGGTAGGCGGGAGGCGACGCATCAGATCGAGCATGGAATCAACTGGGTCTGGACCTTCTGCCATCTCAGACTGCTCTGTGGACGGTTGTATGAGCTTGAACAGAATAATTGATAAACGATCTTGAAGGAAACTGGCGTTCCACCATGGCGCATCTGGATTCTGAACAGCATCCGGCGGCAAAGCCAAAACAGGATGTTAGCCTTTGGCTATGGCCCTAAATATCATCGCACTAGCTTAAACCACAACAATGGCGATTGAATTATTCTTGTTTCCTACAGAGCTAATATGGCGCATCCTATCAATTCTTGCCCCAAGGGATATTTGTCGCTGTGCAATAGTTGGTCATTTCCCGCCGTTCCATGTTACTTCTAAGATGAACTTACTTCTGGTTTCAATGTCAGACTTGCAGAGCCTTCTGGAATATGATCCAGAATTCTGTACACATTCAATACCAGCTTGAGCTTTATGCTCAAGGTTTCATTAAGACCGCTACCATGGACTCGATTGATGTCTCCAGAGAGATGTCCTCGCTCAAGAGATCGACATCTTTGTGGCGGTCTGGCTTACATTTGAACACGGTCTTGGAAGAACGACTGATGAATTCTACCTTCCCAGAACATCCCTCGCTACCATGGCTACGATTCGGTATGAAGTGTGGTCTTTTGTGGATGTTGGTACAGAGTGGTCTCTTCATTAGGGACTATAACACAAATACCAACCTTTCCCGGACGTGGGCCATACATGACTTGTCCTCTCAGCGCCGCCCGAATTTTCTTATTGTAGATCCTCTGCAAGATCTTGTGGTTATAGTCTCCTTGTCTGGTATCATCACTGTGGCCGACACCGAACAAGATTACCATGCCTTTTGGGTGGAATGTCGGTCAGCTTCATCCCAGCATCCCCACCCGGACTCTGCCTGCGCTTCCTTGGAGTGCAAACATACTTTTGATATACGTGGCGTGTACCATGTCGATTTGATTGGAGAACCTGCGATTTATGGTGATTATATATTTGTCTTTATCACATAGAGAATGAATCTTATGAACGTGCGTCTGCCACGTTCATGCAAGCTATTGATTGGAGGAAAGGATATGTGAAGAGTGTGAGTACCTCTGTTCTTGGGAATTCAGCTGCTGAGTATATGCAGCATCTTTTCCCAGACTATTATCAGCAAGGCTCTCAGCATCAATTCTACGTAGTCGACCAACGGACAATTGTTGTCATTGGCTCGAGCTTTATAACCGTGCACACATTACAGGATATCGATGGGTCGCCGCGGCCTAGACTCACGTACCTCCTTCCAAAGTGCCACCATTCATCCTTTCCATTCATGATTGTTCATGCCAGCCCATCGTTCAGTGGCACAGCCCCTCGCGCAGATCTTATGCCCGGCTATGTGCCCTCTCTAGAGTCACAAATCATTGTTTTAGAGCTTATCTCACGCCCCCGCACACTGTCTATTATTCTGGTCATTGATACAGTGATCTTCTCAGGAGCGGCTTTGCAGTCAGAGACACATGTCAAGATTCCCTGGTCCGATTGGGGACCCCAGCATACGTGCTGCTTTCCGCATGACCCTAGCTACCAAATCAGTGTGTTCGGTAGCAAAATGGCTTATACCCTCCCTCGAGATCATTCCCCTGAACCTGGACAAAGATTGGAAAAACTCTCCGCCGCAGGTCACTTCTACATCCATATCTGGGACTTCAATAAACGAGCGATTACTCGTTCGGGGAATTTCTACAATCCCGACTCACCAGACCTTCTCGTTCGTAAGCCTGGCGGGGTAGTTCAGTCGTGCTTTGATGAGGAAATCATCTCGAATCACCCTTACACTGCTACCGTCTGCCGTGCTCCATTTTTGACATATGGCTTGCGTGAATTATTCTTAGAACAGGATAGACTTATCTTGACCTCGGTAGGTTTTCTTAGTTGTGAGACAAACGATGGTTTAATATGACCTACAGGTGCAACCTGGTACAGTTGATATTCAAGTCGTCTCTCCGGTACAAATGGATGTTGGGTCGGACTTTACGCACTAGAATCAAATTCAGTTGTGCAGGAAGAACAACAAGTCATCATGCTTCCGAGTCATTCGACGAGTCTTGTGTAAATCAACATTACCGTGGAATCGGACCGTTTGTATTTGTATTTGCATGAGTGGCCTGATCATCGGCAGGAGACGACTCATCGAATCGAGCAGGTCTGGCTCTTCCGATTTCGTGCTTGACTCTGCGGACGATCAAATTGTCTTGCACAGAAAATTTGATATACGAAATTTGAAGGAAACGTTCGTGAACAGTATCCCGCAGCAAACGGCACACTCAGCCAAAACGGGAAACTTACGAAATTCAAAAGTCCTGCCCTGAATTTGCCCTGAGCTTCGTACTGTAAGACTTATTGCTACCGAACTAACGTGTTCCTCCAAGGGACATTTGTGGCTGCTCAATAGTCAGCTGTTTCCCCACTGTTTTATGTTTCCTCCCATGAACTAATAGACTAAGTTCTCGTCAGACCCAGTGGAAGGCCTTCTGAAATGCGATTTCATGCCATTGGCGGCAGTACGTGAAGAGTCACTAAAGTGTGGGCTTTGATGAATAGAGGACCGGATCGATCTCTTCGATATTCGGGACTGTAACATGAATACCTACCCATATTTCTGGATGTGGCACGGATGCGGCTATGGGCCTCATTACCTCAATACCGACCCTCCGCAAGGGTTGGATCCTTCTACGTCTACGTCTGGGACCACCCTTACACTGTCACTGTCCGACGGACACCTTTTCTGGCGGATTACCCCTGGTTATTCTTGGACCAGGATCCGCTTATTTTATCTTGGGTAGGTATTCTCAGCCTTGAATGCATCGATAACCTAACGAGACCAAACTGTAGGTGCGACTTCAGGATTGATATTTAGCTCGTTTCCCCTATGAAAATGAAGGTTGTGTCGACTAGAATAAATCTTGGTGGTCTATAATAAACAGCAAGTCATAATACCTCATGCTCCGGTCTTGAGTAAATTGATCTCTGGACTTGAAGCAGACAGTTGTGTCTTTGCATTATCCTCGACCTTGGTAGGTGGGAGACGATCCATCAGATCGAATTTCGTTGAGTCAACTGGGTCTGACGCTTCGTTTGGAACGAAGACTAGATATGGGAAATTGCACGAAACTGTGCCATCATCGCATCTACCGTCTCGTCAAATAGTGAACAGCATGCGTAGGCCGAAACAGGGAGTCGGATCTTGTTCTCAACTCAAAATGTCTATTGCAAAAGTATTTTCTTCTCAGACCATAAAGATGGCGATCGAATTCTTCTCTTTTCCTCGTATGCCTTTCCCAACAAATGACTTCTGCAGGTTGTTTTTGGAACAGGATCGTCTTATTTTAACGTTATGGGTATGTATTTTTATTTTTTGAACTCGACAATGATTTAATCTGCCCTAATTGCAGTCATGAATTTGCGCAGTTGATATTCGGGTCGTCTCCCTCGTACACTGGCAGACCGATGTTAGGTGACATTATCTGTCAATGTATTTGTAGACGAATTATGAAATGTTGTAAATCTTCAATTTCTCAAACAGATATCAATTGGCACTTCCATAGGATTCTTCATTCTTCTGTGCAATTAATTGCCGGACAGATATGTCTAACGATCATAGTATGGTCATCTACACCCCATACAATACAGCCAGTGCCAGCCTGAGAGACCTACATCAGCTGAAAATGTCCCAGTATAGATTGATCTAGCAGGCTCCATAATGCACCTAAAAGTTCATGCCGCCAATTGGAGCGCGGAATAACACACTGAGGACGGCATCGACAACTCATCATGCATCATCCGGAAACAGACCTTGAACGAAACTATCTGATCCTCATCCTTTTCTATATGATGGTGCTATCCAGCGTTCATGACTTAGTATCAATCATTGTACTACTTATAACTGGTGGAGACAGGCACACACGAGGAACGTTTGGGTATGATCGAAAAGCTGTCCAAAAATTTTATTATCACCAACTTTAGAATACAAACAGAATTGAAGGGCAGTGGGAGAGGAGACTCCGGGCCGTGCGTCGCCCTTACGACCACAGGAAGCCTTGATATCGAAGTTACACAAGCTCCGAGTCAAATGATGAAAACGTCGTATGGTAGTACACGCGCCACTCTGATGGAAACACGTGTTACACTACATCCATCATGAATCATGGAAGGTCACTGGAGACCAAATGATTTGCACTGTTTGCTGTGTGAGGCTGTGGATATAGCAAGTGTGCAAGATCGGCGTTTGACCAAAGCCTTATAAGTACGTGTCCAGATGCGGACAGCCTACCGGAAAGGTCCGCGACGTTTCCTACGTTCGTGCCACAAGTTGTGTCGAGTTCGCCGTAAGTTGCCACTGTTCGCGGCCGTACCTTGCACTTCAGCTTCCTCAGTCGCACTAGTACAGTTTTTCTTCAGACCCACCCACCACTTCCTTCAATCTTTCTTTGTTCTAGTTGTCATAGCTCCTTTTTAATTGAGCATCCTTGTATTTTGAGGTATCAATACATGTTTCGTTTTGAAGCAACCCGAAGGGTGGTTCGACATGGTCGAATTCGTAAGCAGGTATCCCGTCCTCCCGAGCGGCTCCACCTACTTGTGTCCCGTCCTGAGCTAACGCTCCGTCCCAAATCTGTTACATAATGTCAGCGACTCTCGAGCCATGCCCAGACGAAGGTGGATAGACCTGCAAAGCACTGTGGTACTGCCCACATCCAATACATGCTTGAGCTTTATGCCCATGGCTTCGAGACCGCTACCCTGGACTTGTCCAGTTTTCCAGAAAGATGGCCTGGCTCAGGAAACATATATCTTGTTTTTTTTTGGGGGGGAGATCCTAGAAATCTGTGGCTATCGTACTGTTTCTTGGAGGACAGGGATGGCGTAGCTGTGACCAACCCTTTCATACAAGTGATTGATTGGAGGAAGGAATATGTGAACGGTGTAAGCCCTCTATTCTTGAGAACTCTCTGCTTCACATTGAAAGCATTGTTACATTGACGACATATCTGCAGTGAAAACATTTTGCGTGTAGTTAACGAACAGACCACTATTAGGCATGCTTACCTCGGTTGGCTTTATAACTTTGTGCACAGTACAAGAACTTGACGTGTCGAATCACCTATCACCTTCCCGAGGATCATCCATTTCTACAGCTGGCCATTGACTGTTGTACATACTAACTCATCTTTCCACGGTTCAGGCGCAGCAGCCCTCGCGGATCTCATGTCTCATGTACCCTCCCTGGAGTCACAAATCATGGTTTTAAAGATCTTCCTTACCGAATCATGTCATTCTAATCTCGAGATGGGTCATCTCCTCAGGGACGAGCTTGTGCTCAAAGACGCTTGTTGATATCCCCTGGTCGGACTGGGGACCCAGCATGCGTGCTACTTTCCGCATAACCCAACCTATCGAAGCAGTGTGTTCAGTAGTAAAATGGCCCATGCCTTCCCTCAAGGCCATACCCCTGAACTTGGACGAAGACTGGGAACACTCTGCCGAGGGTTCCTTCTATGTCTACATCTAGAACTTCAACAAACAAGTCGTTGCTCGTTCGGAAGGCAAGCATGATCCCAACTCGCCAGACCAAGTTCTTATCCGCGAGCCTAGTCTGCTAGTTCAGCAGAGGTCACCTCGAATCATCCTTACATCACTGCCGTTACCGCACGCCTTGTTCGATGGATAGCTTCCACAGTTTATTCTTGGAGGAAGATTGAATTGCTTTAACCATGGTTAGGTGCTCTTAGTTGTAAATATAGAATAGTCTAACGTGGCCAGACTGTAGTTGTGATTTGACAAGAACGTTGATATCAATGTCGTTTCTCCTAAGATAAAGATGGATGTTGGGTCGGATCTCACAAACTAGAATAAATTGAAGTGGCCCAGGATAAATACCAAGTCGCATGATCACGATCAGCTGTCGGACAGCCTCACTAGATAGTGATCTTCCGTGTATCGCTACGGCCATCACCTACACATTGACAGCTCCATTATCTTCATGCTTCTTATCTCGTACGCGCCCTGCCCCTTTCTCAAATCTTTCAGGTTCATTATGCGCATTCGCCAATTCCATAACGTTGAATTTCTGATATCGGTAATAATCTTCAACAATACTCACGCCAACGGTGCTCTGCATAATCTTGAGATCAAAAACGGATCTGAACCGGAACACAGCACGGACCTTGAAGACTTCCACTAGAACGAACACATCAGGGTCGTCGAGGTCGACAGTATAATTAGACGGCATGCATTTAGCCACTTCTTGGATGATCTCCATTCGTGTCAGCGTATTGTGGTTGCGCGTGCGCAACTCGATCTTGTACTAAAACTCGTATTCAATAAATTGCGAGCGTCGACTTGTCTGTATACGTACCTTGCGAGCCCTCGGGGACCCCTCACTACTCTGATTCTCCAGGGCGCAGTACGCAGCAACGGTTCGATGACATAAGGAGTGGAGCTCTGGAAGGTTCGCAACGCACGAGCCGGAGACTGGTGTCAACCGATGCGTGTATCTGTCATGCCGAGTGAGTACGAATCGAAGAACGAGTACGACGTGTAGATTTCACTTTGTTCTCGTGACGCCCGTTTTTTGAACGTTTTCTACGTGTTTCATCACCAATTTTACTGGGTCCACAGGGGGTTTACATGACATGAAGATGACTGAGTCAGAACAGTCAGGATAAGTTTAGACTGATAGAAAGCGTGTGTTCGTACCACAATTGGTGTTTGTCATGCAGTTGGCTGGATCAGCCTGAGCTCGAGAAATAACTCGGAACAGCCAAAGTTTCACCCACCGAACCGCTTCTCCACTTTTGGCCGCTTCAACGCAGCGACCTCTTTCGCAATCTGCGTTTCTAGATCATCTTCATTCTCATCTGAGCCGTTATCCCGATCATTAGCAGAGGACTGCCCTTCAACGGGCCACATGTCAGCAGCTAGCTACCAACGAGCACCATAAGCTGCGTGCAAGATCTCGGCGTCGACAGAGGAGAGACTTCACCGATTCAAGCAGATCGTAGAGCTCGCCGACGGTTCCTTGTTCTTTTCCCTTTACGCAGGTTGCCCAGATTCCTGGTCCCTCGATCGTTCGTTTTACCCAGGTGGGCGATACGCCGTCCTGTCAAACGTCTATCGGTATCATGATGGAGATCCGGAGGGTTTTGTTGATTGTATTAGTACTCACTGATCGATACTTGCGTTTACGACCATTAGAAGGGCCGCTTTGTGCTTCTGTCATTCCTTTAGATGGAAATTCAGAAGTCGTTCGAGGTGCTGAGGATTGGAACTTCGTTTCTGACGGGCCTGGTGCAGTCAGAGTCGATACTTGGAAGTTCACGTTCAGTTACCGCGCGCGCCTAATCAAGACAAACAAAGTTGCCCCGCTTCCGCAAGGTCGTGCAGACGCTCGCAGACAGCGAATTACAGGTCATATATTATACATAATGAAGCGAGTCTGATATAATAAGCGTCCAGCTCCGGACCCAAGTTGCAAGACAACAAACTTTGACCCATAAATAATATGAGGCGTCCAATGACATTTATTTTAAGTTACGATTCCTCCTCGTCCTCGTCCTCCTCACCATCTTTTGCTTCGCCACCAGTCCACTTCCGTTCCCATAGTGGGGGTGGAGAGTCAGGGTGACGCCGTAATAATGGATGATCAACGGGGAGGGCACTTCTCGCCACCATCAGACGCTGCTTGAAGACTTCATGCTGTGACAATAGCTCTGTAACGTAATCGATAGCTGTAGCACAAGATTAAAATAAGTACGAATCAAAAGGAGAGATGCGGTTTGAGTACTAACTCTTTGAGAGCACGACATGTTCGCTTTTTGGACCGGCCCTCCCGTCGGCCTTCTCGCCGTCGTCATTTGCTGACTTTGCTTTACACCGTCGTCTGCCAGCTTTCTTCCCGTTTGCGGCTTCTTCTTCTTCCATTGCCTCAGCCAACATGGCTTCCCGTAGAGAGGGAACGATGTCGCATAAAGCCTCGTAACCCCTTCTTATATTAGCTCTTCGCTTCTGCTCCGATTGTATATGATTTGCTTTTTTCTGTGAGGGTGATAGAAGCGTTGACGCTCTACCGGCGTCACTCGCAAATTGTTGCGATGTAATTGATGACTGTCGCCGCCGTTTATTGGAAACATCATGATCCAGCGGTGGAGATCGTTTATTTGACGAGACCGATGTAGGAGTGGTATGGTGCGTGGAGAAGGATGAAGCTGAGGAAGACGGATCAACGGGAGACTGACTCGATGATGAGGATGATGCATTATCGAAAGTGAACGTTCTTGCTCTAGTTCTGGTGGAGACGGATGACGGATCCGCGGGTCGTTGGAGAGGGGGTATGTGTACACGATTGCGGGAGGGCAGCAGCTGGGAATGGCCTGTGGTGTGGTCATTACCCTCTACACGTCGTTCTCGACGGGTAGAGTAGAGAAATGACAAGGAATTTGGCTGTGACTGGGAATGACGGTGAACCGGTTGTTCCGACGGAGACTCACGAGATGAAGGAATGCGAGTGAGTGGATACCGCCATTTATCCGTATCCAGCGACATGAGGTCTTTGGTTGCTTGAGCCAACGCCTCTCTGCCGTGTGCTGGAGGCATATGCTCATGCGAGACTTCTAGCTCCACGTTCCATGCTGCTGAAAAGTCGGTAGTGTCAAGGGACGAAAGGAATTTCTGAAAGGCATGAGCCTCAGTAGGAGTTAAAAGCGACATGAGAGTCGTTGAACGAGAGCGAGTACTTTAATGAGGAGTACTTTTGTACTCTGGTAGGTTTAGTGACTCGCACAGGATGATGAGAGTTGAATTTAAAACCATCGCAAGGCTGAATTTGCTGTTACGGCCAGTTCGGGATTCATGCGACAGGTGGCTGTGCTTCCCCATGGGATCTTGCCTTTCTTGGTTCCGCGAAAAAAACCTATGTATACTACCGGTAAGTGGATCCCTGACGCCCTTTTATGAATCACGCGCACAGCCTGTATCAATATGAAGATGCATGTATTAGCTAGATGCAGTACTAGCTCAAAGTTTCTTCTAATCCAACCTTGTTATATATATCGGAACAGTTTCGGTGACGATCGGAAGACGACTCTCAACGTTGCAACGGCAATGGACGAAGAAACGATGCGTAAAAACTACGATCTAGGATTAATCTGAGACAAAGGTACGAGGAAGGGGGGGTTGCATGCAGGGGTGCATATACTCGTATTCATGTCACTACCTCATTGGCGCTTAAATCTGCCGTTACTAGCTGTCATGAAATGAAACATGTTGGCCGAAACAAGTCCCGTTCGTCGCATAAACATCTACAACTTTTATCCAGGGAAGGCATAGTACTTGCTGAAAGGCCCACCTGCTGCTAGGCTACATCAGCAGGATATTCCGTTACCAGCCACTCTTAGCTTGAACTTTCGTATCCGATACGGCACAGATTCCGTTTTCATCGCGGGAGGAGGACCTGCACGTTCCGTTTTCCTGTCATCGATAATGATCGACTGCGTGTTTGATACTTACCAACTTATCCACGGAGGTTCTGACGACCCGGCTATGCACCCGGCTTTGGCGCAAGCGGTGCATGGCGATGATTAATCATTACTCATATTACCCGAGATGCTTAGAGCTCATCGCCGGAAACAACGAGCTCGAGTCTCGGCTCGACAACCGGTATTGTTCCAGGAAGTAGCTTCAACTCGGTTATTATCATTTCGGATCTCGTTCTGCCTCGGGGACTTGGTAATACGGATATGGAATGATTCATCATGATGATGTAGATGATTAGTGATTAGATAACCTTGGCATGGCTTATATTAGGCTATTCCGAGTCGGCTTCGGCTTCGGCCTCGGGAGGTTCGGGCTACTGTCCACTCGATATTATCACAAGTTCTAGCCAAACTGGCTGTGCCACGGCGCTCTCTCTTCATTCATCATGTTCTGCATAACGGAGTCCAGGTCTACGCCGGAGCGCTCGCTGTCAAGACTAACTGGTACATGATCACGTTCTCTGTCTCAAACCATCGAACCAACACAATAATCCCAAACTTTGTTCAAACCCGGACCGTATAGACATCACAAGAAATCATTGTTCCAAAGTACCAGGGTTTGGTCCACGACGCAATTATCGGCCCCAGCACCCCGGGATGGTATCTATATAAGGGCTTTGTGCGTCTGTTTTGACTCTTGAGTCTGATTGGCCAACCCATGACCATGCGAATCAGATAACGATAATCCTTCAAGTCGAGCTTGATTTCCAAGAAGTCGTCACCAATGAGCGGGGAAGCAGAGCTTAGAGTGACTTTCTTCCCTCCACTCTATCTTCAGAGAAGAATATGGGTGCTAGACGTCCTTCGCCGCGAGCAGGTCACCGAGGTCAGTCTCGAATCAGTCTCGAATCATCGAACGATCAGTCTCATTTCCTGCATAGATCATAGACATCGGATGCGGGGAGGGTCAGCTTCTTGCAGTTCTCTGCCAACCTGCACTTTGTCTTCCCCTCCTGACCCTGGCGTATTGACATCTCCTAGCGATGCGAGTACAACCACAACCCAAGCGGATGATCTCGATCTCCACCCGAGGCGCGTCACCGGCCTCGATATCTCATCTCACGCACTTGCATCCGCGATCGAAGATACCTCCCCCGCTGCCGCAAACGCATCATACACACGATGGGAACCACTCGAAGTCAACATCTGGCATGGCGGACTCGAGATCTTCAACCCAGTCTTTGTCAATGCAGAATGCATCGTTGCAACAGAGGTGTATGTCTATTCCGTGCTATAATCGGTTTGTTTCTAATACTTTTCGTCTCAAGCGTCGAACACCTTCCAGAAGAAATTCTCGCCGATTTCACGCCCATGATCTTGGGTGTGTATCACCCTCGCTTGCTTCTCGTGACAACCCCATCGTACGGGTTCAACGCGCGTTTCAGCCCTCCTGGCTTGACGAATACCGCCACTGGCTTCCCCGATCCTACGAAACGCACAGATAGGGTGTTCAGGCACCACGATCACAAATTCGAATGGACAGTCGAGGAGTTCCAGGTGTGGTGCAGTGGCATTGCGCAGGAATGGGGATACGATGTGGATACGACGACTATTGGTCGTGCACAGGAGAAAGATAAGTGGGGCCGGGATGAACAGCTAGGAGGTGCGAGCCAGGTGGCTGTCTTCAAGCGCCTCGAAGGTGAGACTTGGGCTGCGACACGTGAGGAGAAGAGCACCCAGATGAAAGAAAAGTCAAAAAGCCAAAAGGACCATCGTCTACTGGAAACACACCACTACGACGCGCATGTCCGTGCGGGAAAACGAGGGTCGGCCGAGGAGATTGCAAAGGCTGTACTGGACAAGTTTGAAGAATGGGAAGAAGCTGAGCTGCGATTGGAAGAAATCTGGTTTGTAGAGGAGATCGGGGCGATGTGTGGTGGGTGGTTCGAAGTTCTGATCGAGGCTATCGAGGGAAGTGCGAAGTTTAATCTTCAAAGAAGCAAGGACCAGAGAAGGGGTGATTGGCGGGTGCTGCTAGATGGAGGCAGACCTGGGAAGAAGAAGAGGACATCAGAGTGGGCTCTAGAAGAACCGACGGATGATTTATTTGACGAAGTCGTGCAGGAAGGATATCGTTCTGATGACGACCCGGGGTTCGACTGGGGAAGTGGTCTGTACTCTTCAGACTCTGGCGTTGATCTTTTGTGGGACATTAGCAAAGAAGGTAATGCATGGGCGAGGCAGTCTGCTTGGACGTGCGAGTCTTCGGAAGAGGACGTAGTTGACTGGAGCAGGTGGAGCACCTTATCTGCAGCTTGGGACCTTGACAGACCAGAATGAGTCCCGAATACAAGACTTAGTATAATTCATTGCTAATAGACATAGATTGATTTGACTATAGATTGTGGGGCTAAGCTCTGAAATAGAACGAGTGACCATTCATATATTCATACAAGGGTCATGATGGTGCCTGCCCCGGAAAGGTCCTGCCAAGGTACGCCCGCCGCGGGCCGATCAGCTCAACAGCCGAGCAGAGGTCAAAAGGACGGTGACACGCTGCTCAGCGTTGATGACAGCAGCGGTTGAGATCTATAGCATCCCGATTGTGATGAGTTTACTAGAATAGATAACCTTAAGCTTGAGATAAACCATCAATGTTTGGCCTCCTCGCTGCAATCTTGATGATAGGCGGCAATTTTAGAATGATGTGTTTGACAGGTGACCGAGAGAGGCCCAGCGAGTGCCTGCTCCAGCGGTCCCGGTCAGAACTGCTGCGCGAATGGACTGCCATTAATTGAGGAGGCAAATCAAGTGCATGAGTGGGGAGCTCGGATGTCTTGCATGTTGAAGGGTTGATGCCATCCAAGAAACTTGAGCAGCCGTCATCACCAGCTATATCGAGTGGTTGTCAAAAACAACGATACATTCACGAATACTAACAAATGATTAATGAGCCGTGATGCAGGGCCCAGGGGACGCAAATTGCAATATATGCACATCTTTGCTGGTGTCCCAATGGTGTCCTGTTGCATAGCTAAAAAGACGACGTCGGTCATCGACAATCGAGAAGGAACGACTTGTCTATATGGTGACCTTATGGTCCGGCTAAGGGGAGACCTAGAGGCGTTTGATCGTGAGAGGGAACCCGGAATGTGTTTTCGAATCGGGACAGGTCGGAACGAGGTTCATTGTTTGACGACCTGCCCTGAAGGACGCAAAAAAAATGTAATAGCCGGATGACGATAGGGCCATGTCATAATGTCCCAAAAGTGCGGGAGTGCTGGTACATGGCTGGTCCCTGGAGCTTCCGGGGGCCTACGCCCAAAAGACCGTAGAATATCGAAAATTTATATATTCCTATCCGAGTGCACCGGAAGACACCTAGTGTGTTGTTTTATGAGAGATCTCTGCGTTCGAGAGTAAGATCATCATGAGGCTCCTAGTTCCTCGAAGCAATTACAGCAGACTGCCCAGCTGCATGGTGTTTTAGCGAGCGCTCTTGTCCAGTCTTTGTTGTACCTTGCAAACGAACCTCAAAATTCACGATTAAAACACGCTACTAAATCTCATACTCCTGGTTTTAGCTAGCTAAATGCAGCGGCTGCGAAGGAAACGTGTACACATGATACGAACGTATATGGAACCGTTCCGTCATTTGCCGTCCATTATCCTGGATCATTTGCAAAGGGAAAAAAATTATTTGCCGTGACACCTCGAGGCAATGAATCAGTCAGGTAGTAGCCAGAATCTAATCACCCATTATTAACATGAGGCTTTCAGTTCAACGACTCCCACCACGCCGCAGGCCCGCAGCCAAGCTGTATCGATAGCCATAGAAGAGGTTCATGACTGACGAAAGATGGCCGCCCATAGAACACGACCAACTACAAGGGCGTCGCGCTCGAGAATTTTGATCTCCACCTTGTACGGCCATTTCATGATGAACCATCAATTAATAAAAAAATTGATGGTCATATTGGTGGACCGAAATGGCAATGAAATGACCGACATGAACGCACCCTGGGCCACACGGCCACACATCCGCACTACCGACGTGCCATGAGCATCGTAAGTACGAGGACGTGATGGCTGCCAACGACTTGTCCGCGGAACTCATGGCAAGAGGCGCGCTGCGCGCTTTATGATTGTGACGGAAGCATTGCCCCATTTGCAAGATAGCTGTGACAGTTTGCGTGAGTGTTTGTGGAGACTGATAAAGCAGGGTCTACATTAACGTGAATATAAATCCATATTTGCGTAGCCAGCTGCCACGCGACGATAATATAGTGGCAAAGGGTGGACAACATATGACACAGTGGCGGGTGCGATCGATGACCCCTTTGTGGCAGCTCATAAGCAGATGGACCTTACTAAAAACATCATCTTCCGCGATCCCTGAGCAGTGCGATTGACGCAGGTTTGGTCAGGTTTCAACTTAGCAACCCTGAAATAGAACATGGTCATGACCTTGCTCCTCTCTGCAAAGACGGATCCTGTCGCATCCCTGTTTGAAAAAGAAGACTCGTATTAACATTAGAACTCTTTAGAGGTACCACTCACGGCAGTGGTCAACAATGTGATCCCTCCGATCATCTCGACAAACCCATCCAGGAAATATGTGAATGGACATAGAGCTGACAAGAGCGATTCGAGCCAACATGATGCCCTGTGCACCTGAGGCTATATTGCCATATGGCTTGTGCACTGTTTGATGTGAACCATGTGTCCCGGGCTCGGCATTGAATATTGAGGAAGGTCTTCTCATCCTGCACAATGTGCCTTGAGAGTCCCACCGCGAAGTACAACATATGAAGATACGAAGCCATCGGCACAGCCAAGAGAAGAGAAAGCATGGTATCCAAGACACCCTAAGACACCTGCCAGTGGAAGCATGTAAGTGGAAATTTAATTATACGGAGATCCGTCCCGCATCATAACAAAAAGGCAACGCACCGCCCGAGTAATATTTTGCTCGCACCGAAGACGAAACGCACATACGCAATTGAACGCCGATATTTGATGAAAGCTAAACCATGTAACTACATCTATAGCGTGGATAAAATACTAGGCGAAAGTCCGCGAACATGAAGTCTACCACGACGAATGATGCGCATGCCGAGGATGACGTTGCCAACGAGGCTGGATAAGGGGTACATGTGATAGCAAGATATGCACGTAGAATGACGAAGTGAAGCGGAGTGCGTGTGATGCGAAAAGTGTGAAAACAAGAGCACTGTTGGGATAGTGGTATCTTTAAAGTGGATGAGTAACGTATAGATGACGGCGACGTTCTAAGCATGGTAATTTGCAACCATTAGCGGTCTGTACGACGGCTAGATCCGTTGCTGTGGTTGAACTTGATGAACCGCATTGGCGGTAGTTACCTGTTGAAAGTGACGTTGGTTTGCACAGGACAACTTCGACTACCGTCGTGGCGCCAACGTAGAAAGCATAAGTCCTTGCGCAAGTTCGGTCTTCCATGCGACCCGTTTCAACGCCTCGGCATAATCAACCCACTCTCTTTTCCGCTCCCGACTTTCTAACCAATCCTTGTCGAGAGTCGTAACTTCAAGTTCGTAGAAGTGATACGTTGTTGAGGGTGAGTTGATGGTTGTCACAAATCGAGTTATGTTGCCTCGAACGCCCGCTGAATTTTTGAAGCGGTAAAAATTTCGGAAAAAAATAGCATGGGATGATCATCAGGAGATGAACAGACGGAAGAGGGACAAAGGTTGAGACCTTCTTCTAAGGCTTCCCGCGAGGCTGCCCTCTCTAAAGTGACATCCGACGACTCCCAACCTCCTTTTGGCACTAGCGGGGTAGAAACATAGCGTGTGAGCAGAACATTCTGACCGATAAGAAGAAGAGGGCGTAATGCTAAAGACGCGTCAATGCGTCACGAGACACGTTACCCACGTAGAGCACGAAATAAAAACCTATGAAAATGATATGACTTACAAACCCATAAATCTTGTCGTTTGCGACTGGTTATAACGAGGACCTTTCCGGAAGTACTGGCCAGTGGAATGGCACAGCACACAACACGAGGGACTTCACGGCCTTTGGTGCCCATGATGCAGGTGGAGAAGAGAGGAGAGGAGAGGAGAGGAGAGTAGAAATAACTTTGTCGGTCTGCTTTAAAGCACCGGGTGATGATATCTAAAAGTTTGGCTTGTTTGGCTCCACGGGCGAACAGCTTTCAACAGAAAATCACGTTGCGGAGCAAAGAGGTGTGTGAATGTTGACTGTCAATGCAGTTCCAGTCCACGTCCACGTATAAACGTGAAGGTTCTGGCCGGAATAACGTTCCGACGCGATGTCACGAGACGGTCAACTATGGGAGTTATTATCAATGGCGAGCGTCAAGAATTAGCACGCACAACTGTACCTGGATTGTGCTAGGAGGTCCTAAAACCTTACTAAGAGCTCGTGAAAAGCAGACGCAAGTTTAAACGGGCGAGACGGTTGTCGAAAAATCTAAGGATGAGAGGTGGTCTAGTAGTACTGATTAAAGAAAAGAAAAAAAGGAGACTGAGTTCGAGTTTTTGAGTGGAATTGGTCGAGACTGAATGAAATTACGAAGCTCGACTTTCCAAAAATGTACCAAAGAGGAAGTACCACCAATTCACGCACGTTCGCCGGCATCCACACGGCATGCTGCGCTATTGCCGTAGCTTACACCCCTGGATCCCCCTTACTTGTCGTTTCCACACCGTTCAGGCAAATGATCTCAAAATGAACCTTCCAAGATTCTTGTTGACTCCGCCATCGCGTATCAGAAGAATGGTATATATAAACGGTTCACGGCATAACTGTCTACACTGTAGTAGCATCTCCACTTGATCGTCACAACTTGGAACATCCGTGCGCGGTACCTTCGTGACAGTTAATATTTACGTGCGGATGAGTTCTGTGGCCGGGAATCAGCCTCCGAATCTCCATCTGCGATGGCACTAACGTACGAGTGAGAAGTAAAGCTTTGAGGGGTGATAAACGTGCGAGCACATTCATTCGTTCCATCTAAGAATCAAGTCATTCAAAGTCACACACCATCCCATCAGCGGACTTACGCTACGAAGAACATGCAAAGCACTCCAAAGGCCATCGCACCGAACTGCCGCATAGTCAGAAGCCATCCAAAAATTCGGTAAAAGGACCACACCTCCCGTAGGGCTTGTGCACCGCTTTTGCTCTCTGCTAACAGACTAACAATGGTACGATAAATTTCAGGCAGTACCATCATAATATGTCACTCACGTAGGCAAGACCGCAACGGCACCAATATACATAAATCCACCGGCCACAAAGGGGATTACCTGTGCCACCAACCATCCCGTGAACAAAGAAACTGATTAGAGATTGATTGCAATCACCAGATCCGCTGGTTGAACAGTGGTACCCAAGATCCCGGAAGCATCTTGCCGCACCCCTGCGGCCAGGTCCAATGACTCTGTCATTGTGCCGGACGCCGATAAATTATGGATGGCAATTCCCATGAATGTGCTTGATTCGCTTGGTCAGCGATCGACGATGAAACTATGAATCTAACAATAATACGAACCCAACCTATTATGAAGCATCAGAATGGCACCTGACTTCGATTTGAGGGGGAAAACTGGTGGGTACTCACAAATGCACCGATGGCAGTCAAAAACTGCGATTGCATGGCTTGCCTTTTGGTAAATCCACTACGCACCAAAATAGAATAGTCCGCAATTTCATGAGGAATTTCATGGGCGAAGCATGCAAGCGTAGTAGTCGCTCCAATGAGGGGCGAAGAATAGAACGATGCAGCCATGCTGGTGCCAGCAGGTGAGCCACTATCAAATCATAACGTGCGCGTGCACATTCCGCCACTCACGCTAATCCATCTGTGCTAGATGAAAACGATGCATCAGAAAAAGGCACACAAGAATCAAGAAGGAATTCACATGTTGTGGACAAAATCACCAAATAGGTTGAGATAGGCTGAGAGCTTCGAAGGTGCCGTTGCAGCATGGGCTTGTTCAACGGGTTCTTGACGATCTACTTCATTTTGTTTCCCCGATCCTCGTGACCGAAGACCATCAGGTGACAAGGAGGTTGATGCTCCAGATGCTTGCGCAGAATCTGCAGATACGGCAGCATCTGTAGAATGAGTGTGAGAATGGCCATGCGAATGGCTGTGTCCATCCTCGCCCCCAAGCACTCTTAATGATTTCTCCATGACGAAAAAGGTAGCAAATCCAACAAAAATACCCAGCCTTGTGTTTATAATGAGCGTATGCAGGTACGTTTCGCATACAAACGTACCCAATAAGGATATTTCTCTTCTCTTCGACCATTACGAAGTGAGCACCCGGATCTTGATGTTCTCCCATGAACGCATGGGGGATGAGGTGGAGAAAAACGTCAGAAAGAAGGCCTCCAGTCTGTGGAGCTGGTGAGTAAGCCTGGCCCTTTCACCCAGGGCATCTAGCCAATAAAGAATACTAACAGCAAAGGCAGTCATCGTATTGAGTGTGTCTGGATGGATCTCCGCGGGAATAAATGCAAGAATAAAATTCGGCACCCTAAAACGTTGTTTGAAGGTCGCGGGTTTGGAACCGGGACGCATGAAGGAACGAATAGACACACGCACGAGCTGATGTAAAATGTCCCAAGCACTGGTAAAACAAAAGTTGCATCAAGGGAAGACTCCACTATACTGAGAACCCCTTGCCTGAATTCCAGCCTGGGCCAAATGGAAACAACCACGCAAATACTTGTCTCATTATTGGAGATTCCTCATCCTCCACAGCAATTTTGAGAGCACTGAGCTTCTCAATGGAAGTACATTCATGTATTTCTGATTCCTGGGCGGTTGTTACACCACAAGACACGTTTGTTCGCGTAGGGAAGTTACACACAAGATGCTCACCCGAACAACTAGGGAATCCCGTGCACTCTCTAGAGCGACAACACTGCATACCAAAAGAGCGAGCACCAACGCGCGAGACGCAAAACGAGTGGCCATGGTTATAAGAGACGATGTAACAATATGATTGTTGATTGAGTGACAACTGGCCTTCAGGGCCCATCGGATAAATCCGAAGACCGATGCGACGTGTTCTTCTCAGCGTCAACCACGACAGTTCAAGGCAGATCCTCTCATGTACCCTAACACCCAAGAGCAGGGTGCTCTACAGGCTGCTGAAAACCTCATGAATGAAATAATGGCTCGTTATGACCCATCCCACGACGCTTTTCATGGTCAGTGATTACACGCGATATTTGCATGTAACCCGTGTTCAACGATCCAGATCATGCATCATCATACCGTATATAAAAAGTACAGCGTGTGCGCAAAACGGCCCTTTCAATAGCCCGCGCTCTTTCCGCCCAGAAACCTGATTTACTGGTCGTGGAATTAGCAGCTCTACTTCACGACGTTCTGGACAAGAAATATGTGTCGGAAACCGACGCAGCGGACCCATATGAATATTTTCTTCCTTTCTTCCAGTCGTTGTCTTTGGAGCACGGACTAGACCTGATTAGCGATGGCCGGGCGCGTGAGATCGTAAAGGTCGTAGAAAACGTCTCTTGGACGACTGAGAAGAAACTAAGGTCGACAGGAAAAATCGAGGAGTGGCATCGCACGTGTATTGAACTTCATTGCGTACAAGACGCAGACCGACTTGATGCAATAGGAGCGTTTGGTAAGTTAGCAGAACAGTGATCCAAACGTGTCATTCTCAAGTCTGCGTCAGGAATCATGCGGTGTGCTGCATACAGCGCTGCCGTAAATCGGTATGTATCTTAAAGCCGCGGGTAACAGACGTTGATGAGAATGATTCATCCAGCCCACTGCATGCACCTCCAGGTCGTCTTGACACTGCCGTACAGCACTTCTACGACAAGCTCCTACACATCCAGGAAAGGCTAAAGACAGAGCCAGGGAAACAGATGGGCGCAAAGCGACACCAATTTGTAAGTGATATGAACGCATGGCACGTTTTGAATCTCACATTCATTGATTGCGAAGATGATCGATTTCCTGAATTCCGTGGAAAATGAATACAATGCAGAAGCACTCGAAGTCATCTGCACCGCGTAACGAAAACACGTTGCATTCTTGGCGTTTTGAAGAACACTGCCCCAGACACGGGAATCCTTGATGAAAAGTAGATAGTTGTTCCATACCTGTAGTTACCGTCCCTATTTGAGACACATAGATGGTTTGGTTGGAAATCAATCCGTCATGGCCAAGTGGTTACCACAATATTTGTTTATCCTGTTAATAAATCACATCATTACTAGTCTGTCTATTCATAGCGGTATGTCACTACACTGCCGAACAGACCTCTTAAAAATGATCAATATGATACCGATAATTACCAGGCCTCTTTCGTGGTAAGGGTCACAGCGAGTGAGCAATCTGTTAAAGATGACTCAGTCACTAATACTTGATATCCTCTACCGTATCAGTAGTGTTCGAGGGATCGGGGGATGCAACGGCTTTGACAGAGGGAAGAGCCGTTGCTTTCCAGCCGCCTCTGAATGTAGCGATCCCATTGATGAGGCTGAAAATGGTGACCCAGATCTGCAAAACATGTCAGAAACACAAAGTACACACTTGAAATTAACGTACGTCATTTGCGAAGATACCACTCTCCAGAGACCTGACAAACAATCAGCATGCATGTAATACATACAACAAGAACGAACCAATGAAGGGCCAAGGGTAAATTGGCAGCGTTGGCCACCAATTCATTCCCAAGAGAGTCCCATCGCTTTCGGAGGTCCTCTTTATCCTCAACAGATAACCCTTTCCCTTTTCTTAAATTCCTCTGCCTCGTCAACAGAAGTTTTCTGTCCTCTCTTAGGTGGGCGAATTGAAGCACGACGTAGAGTAGCCAGAATCGGGAAGACCAGAGGATTAACTTGTTCCCATTCAATGAAATGCGTTTTGAGCTGCGACCAAGTATAGCGGAAAGCGCGGGAATAGAGGTAGGAATCAGATTATGGGCTCGCAGGTAATAAAGATGTTCAAGGGGGTAATACCCAAGCATGGACCATCCCTGAAGCCGCTCGATAGTGTGCAACGTACGAGTTGGCGGGGGGTTGCGCTCCATGGAAATCATCCACTGAAAGATTGGTAGAAGACCTGAAATCGCGTTAAGACACCACATTAAGCAGAAGGTATTTATGATACTCACCCCAAAATCTACCCAGCATTCTAGCATCGCTAATAATACTGGTGAAACTTGCCAGAGAAGGGGCAGCGTTGCTCGTCGCATCTTTCCTGATACCGGCACGGTGCTGAAGCCGTGCGCGCCAGTGCAGGAATGGCACTATCAGTTTAAGTGTATATTGTATGAGCTGTTGAATACGTCGTCAGTCGATATTTTGTTCGTATCACGGTTAAGTATGTACCGTAAAGAACTTGCTAGAACACGCGATGAGAAGGAAGAAGTGGCTATTAGACGGCTGAACTCAAAGAAGTGTTAAAACCTACTCGCTACCGCTCCAGGTGCTGAGGTACCGCACGAGATGATTTAATGTCTCAGACGATGGAACATTTGAGAAAAAACCGAGTGTAGTATCGTTAAGTCTAGCAAGGGTATGCAGTTTTGAAGCTCGCGACATCCTGTCTGATCGACTGGTCGGTGGGATCGTCTATCTCATATGATAGACTTCAGCTGAGTCTCGGCAGTCCGTACACCTGCACGTGAGCATGACCCCGTGGCAAAAGATTATATAATCTGTTTTCGTCTATAAAATTGTTCTCTTCGCTTGGTTGATTCGTATGAACAATTTTTGAGGACTCAAAAGTTCGGGCCTGATATCAGCTCTTCCGCCTTCTCGTCCGCGTTCCCGTCCTCTAGACGAATGAACAGCACTCGCTGTGCTTGGTCTTCCTTTGTTGTAACTGTGGCCTTGTTCGACTGTTGTCATTTTGTCCTGGAGGCATCGCCTCGGCTGAGGCTCATGATTGGCAAAGAACAGCAGGAGAGGTCTGCGGTCGCTCAAGGGGAGACCCACAATCATATATGTGTACTACATGCTGCTCTAGATCTATTACCGAGAATTCAAGTGCTATTCATCCTCAATGCTATGACTGGAGTGATCTCCCATGAATCTCATTTTGATCTCATCGCGAGGTTCAGATGGTGGTGCGCTTGCTATTCCCAGTGAAAACTTACAGAATTGATTATCAGTCGCGATCTCCGTTCAAGTGCACCTGGCAATGTTCCACGGCCTCTTTTCACGACGGTCCGCATACGCTCCGCACGTAGGCATCGGAAGCGTTGCAGTGATATGAGATACCTTGGTTGATACACATCAAGGTGTAAGCCAAAATAGAGCAGAGATAAATGTTCCATCGTTCAACGTTCAGTGATCATGGTTTTGCATGTTTCCTTCGTTTCCTTGCCTCGTCCACAGAACACCAAACTACACATTTCTAAGCAGGTACGGAATCGCCACCCCAAGTTCACCGCTTCCTCACACTCCTCTAATAGTATAACTCTAGAGTCTAGACCGCAGCAGCTTGGCGGATCCATATGGTATTTCCAGATGAAGTTCAAGTTCAAAATGATACCATTCCGATCATGTCTAATATGGGCAGGTGCTAGGCTGTGGTGCCTGAAGCTTTGAAGTTTGGACCAACTCGAGCTTATAATAATTTTTTACAGTCAACTTTAAGGTTTGCAACGGAACGCTGCACTCAAAAGCGACCATCCAAGGGTCAAAACAAGAACAGATCGGTACAGAAACAAGAGTTACCCCGCCGTGGTCAATTGATTAATCATTTATATCTTCATATTGTCCGACGTTGAATTCTTTTATTTATATCATGATCACCTGCAGAGTCCCCTATGTCTCAATATTACTGCAACGACTCCAGCAGCCAACCAGCGGCATTCCCAAAAACTTAATGACTCCGGTCTTCGCACTTTTTATCTCAAGAATTTTTTCAACATTCTGCAAATGTCAACAAAGAGTCATGTGATCTACATGTGTCAGACAAGATGTGATCGACAGGGGGTAACTTCAGCATTAGAGAGGATGAGAGAGGCAAATTTTCCTCCGACTCGATGTCGCCAGGTCCAACTGTTGTTCAGACGCAAGGTGAGAAGCCTGTCAACTTCGATAACTTCGTTGTGGTTGACGCATTCTTGAAGTCGTAAACTATGTCCTGCCCATTGTGGCGTCTTTCGTCACGTCCTTCCGCTTGTACTGTCGCGCACGGCGAGGTCTTCTGTGGATCGATGACGCATGGGCAGCCTGCGCCATGCTATTCAATATTACCCTCATGATTTGCAGTGCTTTGTACCTTAGAGGCTACGGTGCGTCTGCTGCGTGTGATGATGGTACACCATCCTGAAAGACGCACAGTGTTTCACCCTCGATGGGCAAAGGTGGCACTCTACTACACGTGCGTTTTCTGGCGTACCATGCTCGAGAGACACTAACACTGCTTATATCAAGGTTATCACAATGCTTTTATGGAGTTGTTTGGTCAGTGGCTGTGAGCATGTCAAGGTCACAGCTGACATACGTGCATAGGTGTTCCCGGTTATCCATTCTGTTTACAGTCGTGCGTCTGGCATACTGGGGGACACAGAGGAGGATACTCATCTGCGTTGCAATACTCTTTGGCGTTATATGGGGTATACTTTTTGCACAAGTGTGGTGGACCTGCGAATTGAATCCCAGTTGGAAACAACTACCACGTCCGCAGTGCCCCCTCGGCAGAGATGTCGCGATAGCACAGATCGTCAGTACGTTGGCATGATTTAATACAAACTATCGTTTTTCTGACCTGATTTCAGCCGACGTTTTAGGGGACATTGTCCTTATATTGGCACCATTTCTTATCATTTACAGAGCCACATTGACGACGGCGCAAAGAGTCCGGGTGATTTGCCTCTTCTCCACATCAGCAATCACCACAGCTGTCAGTCTCACTCATGCATATTTCGTTTTTACTGTGGGAGAATTAAAGGAGGCAGTGTCTGCCATGTTCGAGGTACAATATCAGCACTCAATGTTCAGGCAGGCTCATTGACACCCGTGTTAGGCATCTATATCTTTAATAGTCGCGAACTTAAGTGTGGTCGTTACATTCTTCTTGCGCATGCTCGCAGATGATGAAACCATCTCGCGACCGATTGACTCGGGGTCTACTACTATAGAATTTGGAATAGTCGTCGAGGATCCCTAATCTCAGCGGAAATTGTAACATGCTTTTAGTCGAAGAGTCTCAAGTCTAGCTCAATCTCCTCGAAGGTATACGATTCACTCGGAAATGCTAACTTGCTCACCCAATTATGCATTAACTGCAGCCAAAGTTAGATTCCGCTAGACTGGCTATCTACGAACATACAAAGTAGCGGGTGATCCAAAACATCTATCGCCTCGTGCGCACCTTCTCGCTGTGTTTGTCTCGACCGCGGCATCACACCATCAGATCATGAAGAAGATATAAGCGTAGATTCTGATGGAAAGTACAAACTCAGTGAGTTGTATCGTGATCCATTTCCGCAGTCGGGTCCATCCCTGCATAGAAAAGAAAGAAAAGAAACTTAGACGCCCACGCTAGGACCGTAGGAAGCACAACTCTTTGTTCTGACGCTCATCTCACAGTTGATGGCCACATTCAGACTTGGGACTCGATTCTGAGAATGTAACAGCATATATTATCCGATTCGTGCGCATTGCGCACCTCCTTGCTCTCTGCCTCGGACATTGGGGTAGAGAGCTATAGAAATGTCACAAGGGTGCACCGATAGAGCAGGGGCCTGCGCGACTGATAAAATCCGATGCCAAACGCACCACACTTCATGCATCATGTCAGCTTTTGTAGGGCAGAGACGTGTGTAGATAGGAACGGAAATAAATGAAATAGCAGAATGGTATAACTAACCTCTCTCGAGTCTGGACTGCCAACATACGCCCTTGAATGCTTTGCCTTCTTCTGACCTCCCATCCAGGAAACGGTCGCCTGATGTGCACCTGCTCGCTCTCTAGTAGCACAACACGAATCGATGTCCAGCCACAAACTAGAGACCGAATGTGACCATCGAAAAGCCCATCGTCTCCGCTCTCCCTGCCTCGCTGGTACAGGCCCGGAAGTATAACAGCTCCTCCATGGCCACTCAACATAGGCACATTGTGTCGGCATGTCAATACCAGACCAGGAAAGTCGGCAGTCAAAAATATGCAAGATCCACACAAAGCAGATAGGATAATTCACGTCATACCTGGGTGTGAGCACATATCTCAACATTCGGCTTCTTTGTTCCTCGTCCTTAGGCCATCTGTCGCTTCATTAAAACCCTCTTTCTCTCTTCATCAGACCATCAATCAAAGGCGCCCAAAATGGTGAGCGTGGAATCTTTGATTCGCATCGTGGTATTAGAATATCCCTGGTGATTCGTGAAACCTGATGCTTGTCGCCACCTCACCAGTCGAGATTCCGTGATGAGTATCCCACGAAGATGCAATACCCAACTCGTTCTGCAAACTGTACAAGCCGATTTGTTAACATAAGCCTTAATGGTGAGATTATCGATGAGCCTCAGCGTCAGTGTCTATATCCAGGGAGTCTCAAAATGGCCGGGCACCGAAGGCGGTAACATTCTGTTGACACGCCATCAGAAAAGTATATTTTAACAAGGTTGTTTAATAACTCATCTGTGTCATACAACCACCTGCACACCTTTAACGCGTAATCCAGAAAACCGATGCAAAAAGTACCACGATGATTCCATCATGCAATTGATATCAATTGGAACCGAGCTCTTTATCTGTTGCTTCACGCTTTTCGTGAACACCGTCGAAGTATCTGACATAACATAAGCCAAAGTTGGATGTTACTTGAATGTCTCAAAACTCCAATTAACGATCAAGATCTGGGAATAGAGAGCACGCGGAAAGACTTTGGATGAGACGGGGAGTGAGTCTAAGAATGCAGAGACTGCGTACGGATAGGTGGATGGACTCGTCACTGCCCAGCGGTGTACCAGAATGATAAATTGGTGAGTGTCATTGGGTGATATGGTGGGATTGGTCGATAGAGTAAGATTTAATCATTGGCTGGTGCGTACAGCGTTACGATCTGTGTACGGTAAGCGAGTCATACCTCTCGTACGTCGTTACGAGCCTTCCATAATACCTTGTTTGAACATCATATTTGATAAGTAACGGTAGAGGTCAGGAAGAAGTAAGGAGAGCAAAACCATGGGTGCTAGCACCAAGTACGAATCACACCATGGAAAGGAACGGAGAATCAAGGCATTGGGTACTCGTGCGTAGTAGTAGTACGAGCTGAACATATGTATATGATAGTTGTATGATAGAGTGACTCGCGACTTACATAACAGTCCCGGGCGCTGCCGATCAACTTTCACGAAATAAGCTATGGCATACAATTCATTGAAGAAGAACACGTCAGGCTTCATGCAGTGCGCCTGAGTCTTCTTTTCTCCAGGTCCTCTCTCAGCAAGTACTGTTTGGATCTAGGGATTTCATTGTATCTTCACTGTATTCTCAACTAAGCTATCTTTGGCTGTGCAACTTGAAACTGATGCCCCGTCAGTACCGCACCAACTCCACGATGCAGATCAAAGGTTCTGCGCTCATCATTGTTGGCAAGCTTATGATATGGGATCCCGAAAACCGAGGGGGGGGGGAGCGAGAAGGTGCTCATGAAGCGACAGATTGCCTGAGGATGAGGAGCAGGGATACTAGTAGACATTCATATATGTGCTTGCACACGGGTAGAACGTGAGTTATCTGTTTGCGTTGTGCAGATCTCCCCCTATTTTGACGATTTATTGTTGGTCTGGCCTTGGCATGCCAACACAATTTACCTTGTATATGTTACCAATTACGGCGTTCAAGTATTGGAAGGTGGTACATATGCCATCAGGCCCATTACTATACGTCTAAAAGTTCACCTCCCACCCACACACCCATTCTCTACCAATATGACCATAGTCTCAAATGATCCCACTTGGTGGCCGACCATCAAGGCATATCGTCTTTTTAGCTATTTTGCATGTTCGTGGAGCAGTCAGATGTCGAAGCTGATGTCTCAATCTAACCTTGGCTGCGATTTCGCAGTTGCTGCCTTCATTGTAGTGACGTATGATTGGGGTGAACTTGATAACATTCAAAGACTACTGATATCTCACAAGTATTTCCAGCACTTACAATCGGACAAGAGGTATGTCAATACTATGACCGTAGCAGCCATCTCGCTAAGAATGGTTTTATAGGTTGAATTGGTATGGGTGAGTAGAGTGTCATGTCAGAGGAACATACATGAAAATTGACTTAATTACAGAGGCAACGCTGGTCCATAATGACAATTATGTATCTCAGTGTGCGTAGCTTCAAGTTGTTTGTTGTGGTTGCCATCTTGCACTGACTTGAAAGTATCTTAGGTGCGCTATCTTGGAATCTTATTTGCTGGGTATGTTCGTAAAGTTAAACGATTGGTGTTGTGCTAATCATTTATCTCTACATCATTAGAATGATTATGCTGGGTATGTCTCCTTAGTACCTTCGCTGTGTTCATTTCTTCTGATCAACGGCATACAGGTAGTATCCAGTCCTTCTCGCTGACAGATACAGTGAGTCTTCTGCACAGATGCCTATTCCCCCATAATTAACCATAGTGTCCTGTAGGAGTAGGTGTGGTTCTTTACTAACTTCTTCGTTCACTAATGACTGCCACCCTATGCGATCGCAGGTGTAAGTCTGTTTGGAGTGTGTTCTACCCGAGGCTAGTCGCTGACTGGACTCGTCAGGCTTTATCGTGTACACTGTACGGAATTGGATGAGTGTTTTTGTATTTGCAATGCTGTGGGGTGAGATTGGCACTTGCGAGACCTCAGTGATGTTGACTGGACTGAAACATGTTCCAAGTCATCATCATGACTCGGTTACATGTCATGTATCAACGATCCAGAAAGATCTTGATATTTCTCATTGTCACCTTCCTGGCTATGAACATTTTCACTGGAGTGGTCACCCTGGCGATAACTCTTCATGCTTCAACGGGTACGCTTGATTGCGAATGAAAATAAATGTGCTTGGAACTCATTAATGAATAACAGAGATACTCGTTCTCTCCGGCACTAATCAGTGCTTGATTCGCTATGCGGAAGATTCACTCCTGGATTCTGTTAATTGGATACTCACCACTATATGGGAGGTCCTCACACTGTCTCTCGCAGTCTGGATTGCTGTAAAACGTTTCCGTGAATTGCGACAACATTCGGCGGGAAGAATCATCGAGGACTGTATCACGGTTTTGATGAAAACTCATGTGCTTTATTTTGCGAGGTGAGCTCGTATTCTGAACGTGCTTCCCTTTTTTGCTGAAGGATAGGACATGCTAGTTTTGTTGCTGTTTCTTGCTTGCAGCTCATCATTGATTTCTCTGATATACCCTTGGCAGTATGTCAATTTTTCACTTATCTCTGCATGCTATCACAATCTATCGTTTCTATAGGAAGATTCCGTGGACGCTCAGCTTTATGTTGGGTTCCTTCATATTTTCTCGGTCGTGCAGATGTTTGTGCTCGGACCACGCCTGATTCTTAGTCTTCGAGAATATCATGCTAAGCTCGTGGCCGACTCCGACGCAGCAACTGGTATGACCTCGATCGCTTTCCAAGAGCGTGTGCATATATCGACTGGCAGTAGTGTGTGATGCCCGGTGAAGTTAACGGTTGTCTAGTGCTCTGAAGGAACAGGGGGATTTCATTTCACTTTTGTGATAGTTTATTTATTTGGTTTCGATTTCAAGGATACATAGATCTGGCTAGATATGTCACCATTCAGTGCTTGGATCACCGAAATGAGATCGATGGATGATACCCGCCCCTACTTTAAATGCACAAAATAAGAACAAGAAAATTTGCATGAAGAAAATTCAGAAGCTTTCACTCGAATCAGAGGAGACGAACGCACAAGCGGATGAAGACCGCAAGATATATAAGAACAGATGGCAATTTCGTTACTTCGTTACTGAAGGTGAGCATCGAAAGTCCATCGTTTCCACTCTCCCCGCAGGCCTCGCCGGTACAGGCCCGGGAGCATAACCGCTCAGTCAAGGCTACTCAATATAGGCACATGTAGGTATGCCGCCCTTTCCTCCAGTGTCAATGTTCGGCTGAATTCTACGACATGAATGAAAAAGATTCAGTAGCCAAGAAAACCGGACCACCTCGGATAGAGCATGTGTAAGTCTGGATCACAGATGACGAAATTACACCACAAAAATTTGAACATGCTGACATGGTTACCATGTTGATTATGATACAGTTGGTTCGTCGCCGAGGCCCGAGGGTCTCACTGCAGCCAAGGGAACTACTCCGACGAGACTTTGCAGTAATGGCGTCGTGATAAGTCCAAGCCTGTGGGTTCTTTGCATACTGCATTTGATAAACTGACTTTGGAGACGTAACGGCCTCGCTAGCCTTCTGAATCATAGTATTGCCAGTTGCCTAGATGGTCTAGTCAGATGATCTGCAAGTCGCCAACGAAAGAATACCTACCGGTAGGATTATTACAACCTCTTAACCATTATCATTGCCAGCGGCCATTCAATGTCTACTTCATCATGTCCTTCCACGGGTCTCCCATCCTCCCGCTCGGCACCTTCCTTAAGATCTTTCCAGAACCGCATTGCAACATCTCCACGCGGATTTTCCCCATCCGTGGGGTTGTGCTGACGGAATGTGTGCAACGAGCTCCACGTATTAAGGTAAGATAGCAGGTCATCCCACGTCATCTTCTTGCGCATGATCACCGAGCGTGGGGAAGGGAGGGATGGGTAGTAGTCGCCTGGAATGCATTAGAGTAGTGTCACGTAACGACAGGTGAAAGACACACCTGTGAAGAAGACCCTCTCGGATTCACTGAACGCACCAGGTACAACTTCATTGCCATCTGGCACTTCAATCAAGTGGTTATCTAAAATCAAACGGCCGGGTTGCTCCCAGTATGGACCAACGCTGTTCAGTAGGTCAGTGCCTTCGATATAAGCCTTAATTCTCTGTGAGTGACGGATAGTGGGCGAAGCGGAACTGGGAGTAACTCTAAATCAAGCAAGATTGACTGGACAAGTAGTAGCTCGGAGATGGGAACACGTACCCAGAATGTAACACTCCCATTCTTCCTCAGCACTCTTGCGAGCTCAGGCCATGTTTTGTTCCAATCGAACCAATGGCATGCCTCGGCTACAATCACGCAGATAGCATGAAACAATTAGTAGTTTCTCCTTGCCCTTCTAGCATGGCACGCACCGGAAATGACTAGATCCACACTGCTATCCTCCAAGAATGTTAGACTCTCTGCGCTCGCCTGTATGTACTCATATTGACCAGTACACTCTGGCGTTTTCTGGAGGGTACCCTGAGCAACTTCGATCATCTTACAACTTGGGTCGACACCAGTGACGTGCTTGAAGGGTGTGAGTTCGATAGTTGCTTGACCTAGAATCCCGATAGGTCAAGAGTTCAAGCCCTCCAAAATCACAAATAGAGTTTAGCTAGAACTAACCCGTTCCACAACCAAGGTCCACTGCTCTATCCCATCTTGCACCCTCATTGCGCTCGTGGTACCGGAATATGAAGTTAAACAAGGACCTAGGGTAGATCGGCCTGAAAGTCGCGTAGATGGTGCTGTCAAAGGAGGATTTGGCGAAAGTTGTCATCGTGAGTGTCCACGTAGTCGACGATAACACGACTAATCATGAGGATGCACGGGGAATATAAATACCCCAAAGAGCGTCTAATTGGCATTGATGTGTAGATATGGTCGTCGGTACTGTCGGAAGTACTTATGTACGTATCGGATACCCCCTTGAGATGAAACTTCAAGTTCTCAGGAACGACTATTGAGGTCTGAGGACGGGAAACCTCGTTGGGTTTTAGAAATATACGTTGTTGTTGTAGTATCAATGATTTAGGTAAACGTTCAATAGCTAGGGGTCACATGACGAATACGAAAAGAAGTCAAAAATACTAGTACAAGTCGCAGTCACAGCTTTAGTACTAGGTCAGATATAAAACATACTCTCCCGCAAGTCGGGGTGCACACCCTCTCCCCATGCTTTCTTTGCCTCTTTAAACACCCGTATCTTCTCTTCCTCCTTGTCTACCTTTCCCTTCCCCCTTCCTTTCCCTGATACGACAGAGCTTGACATCTTATCATCGGTACTCAAGAAGTCGTTCAAGTAACATCTCCCTCTCTCGCATGCCAAATCGGCATAGTACGCGGCCGGGACGAGACTTACAGCTTTGGTAGCACGGGCGTACAGGTAACTTGCAGTGTGCGTGCCCTGCTGCAGTTCATCTGCGCCAAGGCGATTCTCGTCATACACCACAGTGTAGTGTGTCGCCTTCACATGACCTTGCAAGCCAACATGAGGTTGAAGGTAAAAATCGAAGTCAAACCTAGGGTAATCAAATGTAAGAACAATCGACTTGTAGTCGAATGAAAGGGCCGTACACTGCAGTGACGCCTCTATCAACAACAGTTCCTGGACGAGTGTTACCGTTCCGGTCCGCAAACTGGGAGTCGGTCGGCCAGAACTTGGCATGGTGTCGCTTTCCACAAATGATGATCGTCAACAACGGACGATACGGCCTCCTCTGCGGGACTCTCTTGAATGCTTCTCGGATCTTAGGAAGTTCTTCCTCCAACACGGTATTGAATTGACCCTGTCCGTTTGATATTAGCAAGCGAATTCAAGATCGCAAGGAGAACCTATCTCACTTCGGAAACACCGTCCCTGTAAATAAAGACACGATCTGGTAGGCTTTGGTTCTTCTCCGCGTACAATCTGAGTCGGTCTATCATCATATCAGCCAAATCCGTAATCATCTGCAAAGAAGGATGAGAATCAGAGCGATAACATTGAAACATAGCCCACCTCTTTCTTGGTCTCCTGACACCTGAGACTTGCCGGAAATTGGACGAAATAACTATCAACGCTGGCAACAACAGCGGCAATTGATGGTGTGCCTTCAATACTGCCAGGGCCGGGGTGCGTAACGTCCATGCCAACAACCATCGTCTTGGCCTTCGTCAACCATTTCAAGCTGTCCGAATCCAACACATGATTGATACCTCCGAGTTTCGTGTTCAACTTGAGAGCGATGTTTGAGAAGTATTGATCTTGTTTATTGGGATCTTTCCCCACCACCTTATCCGTAAGCATATGTATGGTGTGGACGCCCAATTCGACGTCACAAATCCGTTTGATGCCCGGATAAATGAAGTTGTCCCGGCGAGAGAGGAGGACGAGTATAAAGGACGGTTTTCCTTTCTCGGAAATGTTTTGCTCGATCTTCTGACGAATCGAGCCTAGCGCTTGCTGCCTGCCAGGGTCTTCGGTGCGAGAGACGAGCGATTGGGCAAGCTTGACAGGTTGTGATCCCAGTGAAATTCCGCTATTGCGGCATTTCTCGCCAAAGCCTCTCCAAATACCAGTCAGAACCGGGTCGTCGGCCCCGCTGAACACACTTCGTCCGTCTTTCTCTCTAACGACCATCACCCACCAGCTCTTGATGGCCCCGCCGTTATGGAACTTGACGTCAAGAATGTTCCAACTGCCGTTGCTGACGTTAAGCGGTCTTCCCCCTGCTTCGTAAGTGAGGCGAGGCGGTGGAAGTTCACGTCCAGGAACGACCGCCATATTGTTGTCCACCGTAATACCGAAGCCGCTCAGAGGACTTCCCAGCGTCCCGGGAGTAAACCCAAGAGTGGGGAGACCGTTTTCGATGATGGCATCTGCATTGACTTTTGGCGGATTGCAGGCGAACCGAATCATGTTCGAAGTTTCTTTCTCATTGAGACGCCCTCTGAATGGTTGTCCGGGCTCGATTTCGCATAGTTCGGCTGGTACGTATATGGAGAATTTCGAATTCGGACCTGAGATGTCAACGACTGGAAGGTCGTCTGCATGCCTCAGCGTGATATGGGGGTACTCTGCTGGAAATTAGCAAGTGAATGAAGAATGTGATAAGAAAAACGAACTTTTCCTGAAATACTCCTCAACAGATATCTTGCCGTATTCTTCGCAGTGGAAAAAAGTCCGTCTGGGACTCGTTGGCATGATCTTCTTGATCGGCTTCTTTTGCGCGTACCCTAGGTGTCTAGTGGTCACCTTAAGCTTCTGGGTAAACCGCTGCGGCATAGCACCATCGGAAGATCGCTGGAACGCCATCATAGCGTCTGCAAGATTGCCTGGTTTGTAGAAGGCAGTCATACAGACACCGACGTTTACCATGAGTTCGTTATATGTAGGTCTGGCAGACGTGAAAAAGCCTTTCACGCCCTCTATGCCAAGCGCGAGCTCAAACCGCTCTTGGGAAGGGAAGAAGTAGCGATTCTTTCCCACACGAACACCAGTGCGCGCTGCATGCGTTTGAAGCACGAGGTTCACAGCAGCTACCACTGGCTGAACGTCGTAGTCCCGTGACTTGATATCGCCACTAAGATACCTACACACCATGAATTAACGCGAAAACGAATGAAACAACTCTCCATAACTTACTTAGTGAGCTGTGCGATGTCCAAGTCGGCCGTGTGGATGATTGCGAAAGTATACGTCTTGGATCTAGCATTGGGACCAGCTTCTCCTTCCTCATAATACTGAACTTGCACGTCAAGGGGTTGAGGCAACTTCTTGGCCGACACAAGCCTCTGACTGCTGTCATGAGCGATGAACGGTACAAACTGTTCCCAGCCTTGTTGATTACTTTGTTCCAGGAGCTTGAAAAGGCGTGCACGAATGCGCTTAATGTCTGTGGACGGCGTAATCTCGACATGATAGTCGTAAATGGGTCCTTTGGGAAGCTTAATAGGAAAGAAATTGGCACGCAGTGTGATTTGACGGCCAAGGGTACCAAAGCCAGGCCGGTGAGGGCGCTCAGGGTTGAAGGTAAGTTTATTGAAGGAAGAGACTAGTTCATCCAAGGTAGCGAGACGTTGGTCTACAGATGCAGGGCCCCGGAAGATCAAATCTCCTGGTACTCCCCCTCTGGAACCACCGCCATATCCGCCCCTCGTACTAGAGCCTCTTCCACCACTGAACCCACCAGCACCCCCTCGAGGGCCACCAGGGTAGCTGCCTCTGGGACCACCTCTGCCGCGTGAAGGGTTGCTCATGATTACTGTTGAGAAAAGTTTATGATGTGTTCGTGATTGTATGGGAAGATAAGTGAATTGTGAAAGGGCAGGTTCTTATAGTTGCAAACTGACCGTGGGTACGCGGCGCTTCCGCAGTTGCTGTACGAGTCATGAGTCGTAACTCGTCCTAAATGCGTCGTCCCAGGTCCGCACTCATTCCACAGCTCACTAGAACAGCTGACGTGGCAGTTCCTGGCTGGGCCTGAGAGCTTGAACTAATAATATGGGACCAACGTTAACGATACGTAGTCCGGAGTGAGCCGTCTGACCAGATAGAAATTCCTAAATGATACGATGCAAAACTTCTGCACAGGATGCCACCCATACTAGCCTTAGTTGAGGATCAGATGAGGCAATACGATCTACGAAACTCACCGAGAGGCCGACTTGACGGGGAAATCGAGTAGAAGTCATTGTAGCAAGATTGAAACTGCTCCCGAAAGCTGCATCTCATCGTGATTAATGAGCTGGAAAAAACCCACAAAGGAAATAATGGTTCCCAGCTTGGAGACAGACTAGTCCTGTAAAGGTGTTCACAAGTATTCAACGATACCTGAAGCTCGAGGAACACAACTCACATGATCCATTTGTCAAGACACCATCAGAAAACAGTTCAGGCCCTGCAACAGGTTCGTTCCCAGTACGATCCACCCGCAGTCTCTCCGCATTCATCTCGATGCCTATTACACCAACACGTAAACGAGTTACGAAAGCATGACCTACTAAAGACAGAACCCGAATCAGCCAAGGAGCATGCACTTCGCAGCGCTTACGATCGCGAAACACACTACAAGAGTTCACTGGTTGGTATGCAGTCTATTGTGATTTTGTGATTCATGTTCTGTGATCGGCTCCTTACGGGTAATGAAATTCACCACCGTGTGGTTGAACATCAAAGAGCTGCCGAGGAAGAGGATGCGGGATGCGAAGCTCGCCAAATTGAGAGAGAAGACAAAGTATATTAGGATCGTAGAAAGAAGCAGAAGCTGCACGACTGGTGAGGAGTGCGGCCGCATACCTGAACGCTTCGGCAACACAGGAAGGTCATTGCTGTGAAGCGATCACCGGATGGAACACAGCTTTAAAAAACGGCATGAACGTACGACTGCCCAGCTTCCTCGACTCCAAACCAGACACTCATTGATCGCTAGTGATTGTGCTCTTCCGAACTGTGCCTCCCATGAGTGATACTCTATGCGGTTAAAGTTGACAACTTGCTCACCAGCGATTTCAGATTCCTGCAAGCAGTCTCGTGAGCCACGGCTTGTGTGATTCTGATAATCATAAGCATCAAATAAGGAGATAGGCCCCTGGACTCACCAGTAATCGTTGCCATTGTCAGATAACGTGGTCTGATCATTCAAAGATCCCGGAAGACTTCTCTTGTATACACGGCATACGATCTGCAATAGTTGAGACTTCGAGCACAGACCATATCTTCTTCTATGTACTAGTAAGACATCAGTGATCACGCCATGCCAGGCGATGTGAGGCCATAGCCAGGTAAATGATGTTGTGCACCCAGTGATAGGTGCAGCTTCTTTCACTCGTTCTGCAACAGGTTGGCTTGAAGACGCAGAATCCTTCTTTCCACCACCGCATGTTGGAGCGTAACCAATGTCAGCATTGTGAGGTACTAGCACATTGAGGGTGACTGGTGATCGATTGATCCAGTAGTTGGAAGTAAAGTACCGAAGCCCGGGTGTTTCCGGATTGGATGAATCTTAATTTAATCCCTAGCAACTCCTCTACTAGTAGTACCGTCGTACTCTGTCTTCACCTGAGTAACTAAC